CATCCACGCAGGAATTTGAATCCGGATTTCTGCACTTGGATGGCTAATTAGAGCTCTCGCAGTCCTTTGCGGGACGCTTTCTGCTTCCTGAGGCCTCTGTTGTGGGGCTGTAAGGTGTATCCGCAACATCCTCCCCGGATGACATTGTAGCTGCTCTGTCGCTGTCGAGCTCAGATGCCTCTTTCAGATTTGCACACTTCATATAACATTTGGGACATAACCTGTCACCAGAAACTAAGCCGAGAGATATCAGCCTTTGCGCCAAAGTGTTAGAAATAGCAGAAGTTCCGCGGCATGATCTTCTGTGTTCCGCGAAGGGGTCCACGCACAGCTTGGAAGTGGTGTGCGTCGTGTACTTAGAAAAGTACATGTAAAAATGGTGCGCACATATGTCCGTTACAGTAGACTTGAGTCTTTTTTCACGACGACAAATAACATCCTGTTGGTCTTGTGGCAAGTTCGAAACAGCTTGACCCACGTGGTTCGTACGTAGTGTTTGAGATGGCAACTTCCTGGGCCAAACGAACAATCCGCTGCGGAATCAACGGAACTGCAATTAAAGAGAATGTTGGCAGATGTAAACCCACTGTTCTAAAATGAGCCTTCTTTCTTATGCACTATCAGTTATGACATTGTTTCTGGGCAACTCTAATCCTACATGTTTAGAGCGGTGCTTTTTCCGAGGCATAAGTTGGGTACAGATGTCACTTAGATAAGACCTCAATATACCAGAAAGGGCAAGCGAATACTTATATTTAGGGGTTTTCGATAGGAGCAAAACACGGAACTTTTTTTTATATATAGGGTAGACTTACATTTTACAAGCGGTAAACGCGCAGCATGCCTCTTTAGTATCATAACCTTCGAATGCCCGTTGGCCTGAATATCCACTTTTAATGTTCTGCTTCTTCCAATGTTTCACTGTCTGTTTTTCATTCAGTTTCACTATCTATTTGCACCACAATACCTTTTCGTCGAAGAGGAAGCCAAATCACCGTTATCGCTCGGCATCTTTCACGATCTCCCGCGTTCACTATTTCATTTTTTACAAGCAAATGCAGTATGACCAAAAAGTGAAGACGCGCCGTCTGCTAACGAATTCTGACGAACCGTCTGCATTCACAAACTCGGTTAGCAGACAACGGCTTTGTCTGCAGTCACCTGAGCACGTGTAAAGTGGAATTAAAACCTTTAAATTAGCGTGCCATACGAATATTATTACGTGGTAGCTAAAATAACACCCACATCCATCGTGCAGGAAGAGTTCGGCATGCGAATTTAAAGACATTGAAGCAGACGGATCATACCGGTGATGTTCCGGACGTGCGCAGTGTTCTAGCTATATGACATGAACTGAAATCCAATGAAACACTGATATTCTAAACGTGATATAGCATTTCTGGACTATATATTACATTTATGTACATAAGAAAAATAAATGTCGGTGAGCTACAAATGTGCTTTGTTTCGGCTTTGATAAAAAGTATCCCAAACAATATTTCGAGTTGTCGCTATTCAACCTGCAAGCGCATTCGGACATGTTTAGGGCAAAACGAATTATGCACTTTCTAGTCACTATAAACAGACATTTCATAATGGCAAGATTCCTAGCGTTACTTATACAAATATGATTAACGAAATTAAGTTCCCCGTGCAGTGTTTCACTCGACCGTAGCAGACGGCGGCATGCGTTGCCGACGAGGTGGACACCTGGGGGCGATGCCGTTCTGCCTCATATTTAAGAAATAATTTCTCAAAAATATAAAAAAGTACTTTTCTAATTTTTTGATATGTTGAACAGAGGGGGTCGGTTAACCTATCGGCCATTTCAGAAAATGCGAGCACCGTTGCCCACGACTTTTTTTTACCCTCTATATGGCCGTTTTTGAAGAAAGTGACATGTTCACCATTTAATTAAAAACTGTACGAATATTTTTTTACGATTTTAATGCAACCTAGTCGAGCATAAGGTTGAGGAAAATAAGTAAAAAAAAGTTTCTTAGTCAAATTTTAATTTCAAATGACTAAAAAAATTAAGACATCTTAAAAATTTGCTTAGGTTTGGAGTAGGGGTGTCGCGAACCGGCCGCGGTTCGAGTTCGACCAGGTTCGACTTTTCGAACTTTTCGTAAAAAGTTCGGCGAACCTTGCATTGAGGTTCGACTCGTGTGCGCATGCGCGACAGGCTGACCAGTTGGCTTCGGATTGGATGGTGATGGCTAAGTGATGAATCAAGGGCAGCTAATTGGTTCTTTCAGTTAATTCAGTACAATAAATTAACTTATTAACTTCTTCAGTGATAAGAATGGATTTCTTTTAATTGCAACTGTTCATAAAATAAAATAACCCATTGCATACAAAAAAAAATTCTCCAAACCTAGACATGCTTGCATCAAGGTCTGGCCACAGTGTCCATAAAGTCGAACTGGTCGATTCTGGTGAAAAGGTAGAAGGTTCGTCGACCGGTTCGACCCAGTCGAACCCCGAAAGTCGACCTAAAAATCCGCTTCGACAAAAGTTCGCGACACCCCTAGTTTGGAGTAGGGGTGTCGCGAACTTTTGTCGAACCAGAATTTTTGGTCGAACTTTTGGGGTTCGACTGGGTCGAACCGGTTCGACGAACCTTCGAACTTTTCACCAGAATCGACCCGTTCGACTTTGTGGACAGTGTGGCCAGACCTTGATACAAGCATGTCTAGGTTTGGAGAATTTCTTTTTTTATGCAAAGGGTTATTTTATTGTGTGAACAACTGCAATTAAAAGAAACTGATTCTATTCACTGAAGAAGTTAATAACTTAAATTTTAGTAGTGTATTGACTGAAATAGCCGATCAGCGCTGCACTTAATTCATCTCTTAGCCATTACCATCCAATCCGAAGCCAGCTGGCCAGCCTGTCGCGCATGTGCACACGAGTCGAACCTCAATACAAGGTTCGACGAACTATCCACTAAAAGTTCGAAAAAGTCGAACCTGGTCGAACTCGAACCGCGGCCGGTTCGCGACACCCCTAGTTTGGAGTGCCTGTGTGGACCCAAAATGGCGGCGTAAGGCGTTTTATTTTCAAGGTATCATAGAATATTTTAGTGATCGATTGCATGCAAACTTAAAGTTATGCGGTAAAAATAGCTTTTTTTCAGCGATTTTTCGAAATACAGAAGGTTTTCTCCGATTGCCCGCACTTTGGCGCATGACGTCAGCAAAAATAAACCTAATTCAGCCCTCAAACTTAGTCATTTTAACTTTCGAACCTGTCTTTATTCATATTAATTTTTTCAAGCATATCCAAAATATGACGAAAATTGCCGTCTCCTTCGGCATGGAATGACCCCGATGTGCCACTCGCGTATCACTCCACGAGCAGTACGCGATCTTCTTCCGTGTCGTCTTGTTCCCAGACTTTGAAAAAATGTTTTAAAACATTGCTCGCGTAATAAAACAATGCGATTATACTGTATCCAGTGACTACACATAATGTTAAATAGTCAAGGAACCTTCCAGTTCGTTCTATTTGAGTGCAGGAAGTATATTTCGCAAACGCAAAGGGAGAAACATAATCCAAACGAAACTCGGCGCCTGCAAGGTTGCTTTTCCGTACGAAGGTCGGATCCAGCTAGGCGCACGTGACCGCTTCTCCGCCAATATGGAGTTGGCGGGAAAGGAAAAGGAATGCGATACTTTGGCGCAAACGGAAAAGGCTGGCTTTCCGAAAGGTGGCTAATGTGGAGCTTGTCAACCGAGCCGATCCAGTAACGTTGGTTTGAACCGAAGCGTGTGAGCGGGCCGGTTAGGTAGGTTCGTCTGCTGCGGAGGGAGCGCTTCGTAATCGGCCTGTCTCTCCGGTTTTAGTGTCCATAAGAAACTCGTTATGTTTGGAAGAACGTCGCCTTACCGTCCGCTGTGCGCGGTAAAGTTTTGGATACCCGAACGATAGGTGAGGTTCGCTTTTTTGATGTTCCGTTTTCAGTTACAAAGTATAAAAAATATAGGACAACAAAGGTTGATCATCGCCACAGGGCAGTAAAAGCAGCACATAAATTCCCCCAGCCAGAGAAATGTTCCCATTTCTAGCACAATCCCAACAGCCTCCAGTGCTTGTACAAAACCCAAATCACAATCTTTTCGTGTTTCGTCTTTTATCGTGTGTCACTCAACACCATAACCATCCCCCTGTTCAAAAAGGGATCCAACCATTGTGTGATTAGCAGCCAAGTTAAAAGCTTAACTCAAAAGGATCAGAATGTAGATTATTTTCGACGCAGCGCCCCCACGACGACCACCCCCTAGAATAATCGAGGCCTGTAAACATCCTCCTCTTCCTTTGTGGAACGTCATCGCAGTGGGATGGCACTGATTCGGTGTCATCTTTGCCCCTTTTTTCACTGCGACGATGTCATAATTCTGGTGGCGTCGACTCGGCTGGGGCTAGCGTTCGAACACTGATGTAACGACGAAACACAAATCCCAGCTGAACGCAGTGCTCGTGTCCATCTGTGCTGCGCACTGGACCGGTCCACAGCCCTCGTGTTGAGCAAACACTGAAGAAAACGAGCTACCTAGGTAAAGCGTCTTCTGTATTTCCATCTCGTCTTCAATACGCCAACTCACTGTTGATGAAGAATCACGTGGTTACGCGATGTCGTGAAAGCCGTGGTCTTTGCACGTAAGCAGACCGCTATTTGTCTCGTCGCGAGTGCGAACGAAACTCAACCTGCAAGCGCGAGCATGCTGCCCTGAACTACTCTTGCCACCCCTCAAGCATGCGTGCTCAAATAGGCCTGTTAAAAGCACGGAGCTCACTCTTGTAGCTTCTGCAGTGATCAAACCTAAAGTGATACGGGCACATGACAAATGTCCCCAATTTGCACGTGAAACGTCGGAAAGGCGCCACCGTCTTGAAGTGATGCCGAAAATAGTTTGCGTAGGGTCTCCCTCTCCGTAGAAATGCTGCACGGTCACTCGGCGCATCGGCCAATAAACGAGGTCACCCTGCTTTGGCAATGACGATGGGAGTGGGGCTTTATTGCCAGCAATGAGAGGCAGGGGTCAGTGGTCCTGACGGTGACGTTTCCAGAAGCGCTTCACTTCGTCGTGCCCATTCCTGTTCACCACCATCACCCTCTTGCTTGGGTTATCCCAGATGAGCACACCCAGGTCCTGAAAAACAAAAAGTTAGGACGCTGAGAACATGTGGCAGCTCACTCAAACACAGGCTATTAACTCAAGAAAACAAAAATTATTTAAGATATGCAAAAATGAGGGAATTATCTTTTCGGGTTAATGCTAGTGACAGCAGCGGGCGTCAGGGTTTGAGTGCCAAGTAATAATGAAACATATTACCGAAATAAACATGTACCTTTCTAAATATTCATCTTAGCTGGCGTATTTGTAGTCTGCCGTGAAAGCAATTTGCACCAGTTATTAGATTTTAGAATAAAATTTTACACTCAGCATTATTCGGTGGCAAAGTTCAGGTGTCTCAAGTCTGCCACACCGAAACTAAGAAAACGAGGCACCAAAAAGCTCTGCGAAAAAACAGATGCCAAAGCATGGTGTGTCTTTTCTACGATCACACTACCCTTAAATAACACGCTGGAGCGATATCGGTTCGTAACGATTCGCCACCTGCTCGGAAGGCAGATTGCTGAGGTCACTTTCTGGAAGAACTTCAGTCGGTCTTTTGCTTTTTAGTTCCAATAATATAGTCTAATTGCATCATAAATGCACTACCGAATAATGCAAAGCAGTTAGATTTTTTTTTTTAAATTCTAACAGCTGTTTTGTTTAGAAAAAGAAACACTATTACCCTAGGGCTACCAACTAGCACCAGCTGACTGTTGTAACACCATATGACATAAGTCATGGAACATACACCTTGCATACATGAGAAAGGAGCAAAAAAACAGAAAGTGAAAAAGTCATCCCTGGTTCAATTGCTCTTTTAGAGCCAGTATTTCGAAACCTAGCATTTTTCATGTAAAACCAAATTCACTGGCAGGTGTTAACAAGATTGTACCGAATTTGTTTGAAAATTCCGAACCCGAATTATTGTGGGTAGTGCACTCGAGCGCCTCCTAGCCTTCCCTAGAGATCTCTAGACATCTCCGGAGAATTTTCTTTTATATATTTAGAGAGGAGGAGATCCCTAGCCTCTTCCTTAGAAGAGGCTAGGGATCTCCAGGGACATTCTCTAGATATCCCTTCCCTAGAGAAGCTCCAGTCTTCCCAAGAAAGGAACAGAGATCTCTAAGGGTCTTCCCCTCAAATCCCCAGCAAAGATCTTCCAGGGAAGTACAAGTCTTGCCCAGAGAGGGCTGTTGCACGAGCGCCGAAGCCACGAAATTGAAGGGAGAGGTGCGAACGTGCCGAGGCGTAGTTCCGCAGCAGCTGGAAGTCGCTCTGTGAGATGAACTGGCTGTAGAGCACCCCTTCCCGGAAGTTGAAGCGGTCCCTCTCCAGCTCCCACAGCCGCAGCTGGTCCATGATGGTCGGGGGCACCACGGGGCTCTGCGCACATGCGTCGTTGCCGTCGGCAAGGCAGCCACCTTTACCAAACTCCGTTCTACCAAGCCTCATGGCAAATTCACCGTCCGGTCTAAAAGCGCTTCGTAGACTTCGATAAGCAAGCATGCACAATTTGATGCTTGTAACGCAGAATGTGTTATATGGCTGGCACCTAACCGTATCTGGTTAGGTGTCAGCGACAAAAGTCGACAGGTCCACTTCCGCCCAAACGCTGACGCAGCGCTAATCTCCTCAACGATTGGACGCCGATGCCAGTCAAACCTCTTCCTCGAGCACCTCTGTGTAACTCTCGGCGGGGGAAAAACGTCACGTATTCAAACATGCAGTGACTGCTCTGCTCTGTCAAATGAGTGTGCTCCGGGCTTGCCCGAAGAAAGAGAGCAACGGAGAGAGCGGCAGAATAGAAGAGAAAGCAGACGCTGACTTCTCCACAACAGGTCGACGTATGGTAGTTTGAGCGTTTGGTTCTCCTTTGTTGCGAGCTGGCGCCAGGAATTCTGCTCGGCGCTCCCGTGTTCCAATTGTTATGTTTTCCGCAAGCTTTGTCTACTGCGTCTAACATTCTAACAGGCTCCGAGAAAGTCGCTTTTACGCTGCAACTGCAGAAGATGTCCCCCACAAGTAAGACGTCCACGGAACTCTCGTGCAATTACCTTGCACGACAAGGGGCCGCTTCGCGCCATCCAGTTTCCACATGTGTAGTACACAGTTTTTCTACACAAACACATTACACTCTGTGTTACGACCGCCTTTGCCACATTAGTACGGCAAAGGGGAAACTTTTCCTTTCATTCTCCTTTACGGCAATGAAGAAAGTAGAGGAGGTGAAATAACACAAAAAACCGGCTGATGACGCTGCAGATATTTCCATACATGGCTGCCTCGCTGGACAGGTAGAGAGGGGTTTGCAATTAAACTGAGTTTATTCCTGGAACAAATGCTAAAATTGCAATAAAAATTAACAACCATATGTGATTGATCTTAGCAACATGGTAGTTACCCCAAGTTTTCTTTTCCTTGTGTGGCATAACTTGACGATCAGCCTACAGGATGTATTTAAAACAGCGTGAATATTAGCTGCTCATGCATTAGGGTCCTCAGCCTTTTTGAAAAGAGAAATCATTACAGGCCAGTGTCATAGATCATATGACAGCTAAACTGCTGTCATATGCCGTGAAAAGTTTCAGCTCTGCACATCGACTGTGGGGAAAATTGCATAAATTTCTATCAGGGACATGTCAACCTTGCTTAGTCTATCATTAGAAAAAATAATGCAATGTACAACATTTTTCTTTGCACAATACAAAACAAAATGTCTCGATAGTGCAACTGCAAAAAAAAAAAAAAAGATTTTGTAAAAAAGCAATTTATTTTTTAAAGAGCAATATGTTCTTCAAAATCGGACAACTTTTAGAACACCTGTGTTTTTGAGAAAGCCTCAACATATTTTATTAAAGGCAGAAATAAAGTAAAGAAAATACAATTCCACAGGCACATTATTCATTAATTGCAGTTAGGAAAAACAACGAACAAGCCTTTTCTTTAGTCCCATAACTGAAATTTATACTACTGAAAAAATAAAATGGAGAAAAATGCATTCAAAATGTTTAGATGTCTGCCATATATTTAGCACCGAGTCACCAAAAAATAGTCAAAAACAAGTTCATTATGCAGCTGAAACAAACAAAACCTTGTAGAAACACTTTTCAGGGGCATGTAGACTTAAGGGGGCACACCCCCTAGGAGGGCCAACTTTTAAACCCTTGACTTAACATAAATGAAATTTACAGGGTAGGCTGGTGGTCATGCTGAAGGGTGCATAACAAAATTTCATGTCTGTCGGTTAAGTGGGAAGAAAATTAGGGCAGCTTTTATCAGCAACATGCCTACATTGTTTAGTTAACCTATCGTCGGAAAACTATCACAATATTCAAGATTTTCATTCGCTAGATATGTAGCAGAATGCCTAGGAGGTGCGGCTATCAAAAGCTTTTTGTAAAAAGTCATTTATTTCTATCAATTTTCTCTTCTGCAAAATTGGTCAACTTTTTGGTCTTCTGTGTCTTTGACAAAATGTCAACATTTTTATAAAAGACATCTGTAAAGTGACAAAAACATTCCATAGCTGCATTCCTTATTAAATTTCAGTCAGGAAAAGTGAAGAACGAGCCTTCTCTGTATTGCCATTATCAAACGATAGGTTGACTAAAATGGAATTTATACCAAAAAGTGGAATAGAGAAAAATGTGTTCAAAGTGCTCCAAACACTATCTTTCCTTTAGCTTCGGTGTACAGAAAATAATTTATAAAAAATTACCTATGTAGTGTAAACTAGTGAAAATTTCTGAAAATACTTGCTAGATGTTGGTGGATGTAAGTATGTCATTTTTCAAAATCAACGTTTTTTGCAGAAATATTTTTTTCTGGGTAGTGTCCCCTTAAATGTGACACTGCTCAAAAATCAAATTTTTTCTTGCAAAACAAAACGTCCAAAATGTCCCCACCGCCTTTTTCTGGCTGAATCGCATAAAAGGCCACATACCTGTTTCTGAGCTTCAGGATGAGCGTGCATTTGAAGAAACCTGATGATCTGTTGGCATGAAACAGACATAGAACAGGCACTTCAAAAAAAGCCTCACTGGAACACAGCACTCGTACATTCATAGATCCTTCTTTCCATTGCAATGTTTTCTACAATAAAAATTTTTAAATACCATTTCAAGGTGAATCTGGCACTACTTCATGGTACAGCCACAACAGAAATTAAAGGGGCCATCATATGATACTAGGTTCCAACTTAGCAAACTTTATACGAGCACAGATATTAATGCCACTCAGTGTCATACATGAGACAAGTGTACCAACTAGGAATGCTAATCAACCAAAAGCTTCTTCGTCGCTACAAAAGTCCAAAAAAAGAAAGGATATTCCATTCTCCCTTTCTCCTACACAAAGCCTGCCAACAAACCATGGTCATGGGAATCATGGTGTTGCAAAGTTCAACGGTCTGTGGGTTTGCATTCCTATGCATCCTTATATTCCTACTGCTTATCGTTTTGAAATGCAAACAAAAAAAAAAAAAAAAAAGAAAACTAGGTGCGGGAAGCAATCACGAGCCAAACAGACGACCCTCTCTATTCTTCTGTATTTCCGACTGGTTGGTCGTAAACAGGACGCCTTTCTGGCACGCCAGTACGGGGCAGTCATGCAATAACAGAAGTCACAGGGCCACCTACGTACCGTAAGATACCGGGCAAGCGCCTACTTAAAATTTAGAGATAATCGAAAAAAAATGGGGTATGGGCGTTTGTCCGGTCATCAATTTTACATATCAATGTACAGTGCATATTTGCTCAGAGCTTACAAATTTGGGAATGGGCGCTTAGTGTGGAATGGGCAGATGCGCGGTATTTTACGGTAGGCACCTGCTCAGAATCGGAAGGTGGTCGCTACCCCAAGTGTCTGGCTCAATGCCCTGTAGGAGACTTATTTCTTCTGAAGCAATGGGGAGGTCAAGAACGCTCGCCTTTTGTAGGTGCACACAAACATATGTAGTATTTACTCGCATAATGAACGCACCCCGCCAACGATCATCAGTTTTTATTTATGTTAATTCCGCGCGCAGCCGCCGAGTCAATTAAGCTGCCAGGTGGACAGGCCAAGCCAAGCCAAATCAAATAAGGCAGCAAAGGCACGCGAGTTATGGCTGCAAGTGGGAAGTTGCGGAAGCAATCAACAGCATAACCGCGTGGCGCGCACGGCCAATAAAATTGGGGTCAAGAAATTGCCCGGCACTCGGACATGTTTTGTCCATCGGATGTACTGACGTCAAAGTTTGTTTTCGGATGGGGAAATCGTGAAAGTGGTTACGCCTGGGGATGGTCGCACCAGTTTTTGTGCTGAGTGCCACTGACACGAAAACTAAGTTGGGCCTAGTGGGGAGCTTTCTGTCGGCTAGAAAAACACCCAACTCCCGTTTTCACACATTGGCGCAAACGACGGCCATCCCGAATTCAGTGGTCGTATTAGGCAAGGGCCCAACAACCGCGTGTTCCTCCTGCATTTTCCCTCTTGGACCTACCAAGCACTTATCCCCCAGTTTTCCACAATTATTTCCCAAGTATGAGCGGGCACTTGCTCGGCATTTTAAGATAGTGACAAGACCTCCCAACAATATTTGGGTGTCTGTGTAAATGACCAAGCCTGGCGGGTAATGATGTTACACAAATTCCGAACGTGCCACAATATCCTAACAACTGTTCTAATAAGCTCGTGCTGTAGCGCACGGGTGCTCACCTGATTCGATGTGATGCCACTTCGCAGCGCTTGCCGCACACTCTCTCTCGTCAGCACGCCGACCACCAAGTTGGGAAACCTGACCAAGGAAACAAAATACGAGTACTTATGTGCTCTCAGCAGATGCTAGTAGAGTCGACTCTCATTAATTCAAACTCTCTTAATTTAAACTAACATGCAGGTTCCATCCTATGCATCTCTATGGGAGGAAACTCCTGGTAATTCAAACTTTGCTTTATTCAAACAAATTTTCAGCCCCCCTCAAGTTTGAATTATCCAGATTCGACTGTATACTTGAAAACACCTTGGCCGTTTTGGAAGAGGAAGAGGAAAAGGTCTCCAAGCGACCTTATGCCTTCTAAACAAAGCACCTGAAAGGCTGTGCCTGAGTAGCACGAGAATTTTGTTTGGCAAAAAGAAACACTTTCTTTTTGTATTTGAAATGTTTCAGACGTTTTGGTCTACCAGGTGCAGTTAAATTAGACGAATCAGTCGGTGCTCAGATTTTAAAATTCCACCCACGGACAGCCAAGTTACAGGCAAGTGACAGACATGAAACGCTGTAATTTAAAAAAACCCTGAAAAGAAAAAAATGTGTTTTTTTTAAGTCTAATTGGGACACGCATGTAAAAAATAAATTTGACATGAAAAAAAAAATTTTTAGAGCAATATTGACGGCGAGAGATTGATTTGAAATTCTGCGCGCGAAGTCCATGATGTCACGGGTCATTCCGGAATGACCATCTCGGTCGTGAAGGCGAAGCTGATCCACCTCTCCTCCACGCGCCCGAAATGCCAACAGAAAAAACAGTGGAAAGGAGGTGGCTCAATACTAAATCGCGTCTTGCGCCGTGAATATTGCTCTAAAAAAATTATTTTTCGCGGAAAATTAGTTTTTTGACATACGTGTCCCAACAAGACTGTTACAAAAAAAACCTTCTTTTCTTTTCAGGTTTTTTTTTTAATACACTAGGTCCGGGTAGGTACGCACTAATGCGTGTACACTGTGCACTTCTACGAACGCTTGAAGGAAATGCCGTAGCAATTCCATTTCACATTTTTGGTACGTCTGTTCCACGAACTTACTGCCATGCCACGGCCCGAGAGGTTTCCACATCAAAAAGTGTGTGACGGCGAGCAGGATGCAACACTTGCCCCTTTACGACGGAGACTGTACCACGGCATCCAAAGATTTTGAGCCAGAGCAATAGGGTAAAAAGCATCAGCCCACAAAACTCTGCCTAATTTGGACCAGAATGAAGCTACTATGCACAACAAAGATTTTAGACCGGCACATGAAAAAACTGTAGGACTGTATCTACGCCTAAGGGGCTTGAGGGCTGAAGAAACGGTTTGTGCCTACCACTCCGTGATGCTTTCCGTGCCGAGTGAGCTTCGTGGGGCACTTCTCTTTTGGCAAAAGGCACGCCAAAAGCGCCTTAAAAAGGTTCGCAATTTTCAAAACATGGTTACTGTCGTGCGCCCCGACCAGCCGTGGGTACGCTTTCATCAGTGGAGACGTGCCACAGTACCTCGCCGTGTCACATTAGCACCTAATATGACATTTGCATGAAGTATCTAAATGCAAAAATTTTACCCCGCGTAACGAACGCACCCCCAATATGTGTCAATTTTTCGGGAAAAAAAAGTGTGTTCATTACACAGGTAAATATGGTATGTCACTAAATTGAGGGGAAAAAATACATGGCTTTCAACAAAGTAAAATACGAATAAAAAAAAACTTTGTTATATTGCTTATATGGATTGATTGAAGATCACTAAGTCATCACCAAATATGAGGACACTTCTCTAAATTAAGAGGCCTTGACTCGGGAGTTCCCTACTACCAAACTTTCTGGTTTATAGTCTGTGCCTGGTGCATCATACATACGTAAAGCATTCTAATGTTTTTGCGCACAAAGAATCTTGCATCATGTAGAAATCATCATTAAGGTTGGACACTAGTCAGAGCACATACTTCCGAGCTGCTAGCCCCATCTAAATAATATATGCAGGGTTTATTCATTGCGCTATGAGACGACACAATGCGAATTTCGAGCTTTATTTATTTATCCTGCAAAGAGTTGCATCAAAATGCATAAAACAAAACGTCCACCCACTGAGGAAACCTATCTTTGAAAAACGGTAACGAAAATGGCCAGTTTCTATACTGAAACATGAAGTAGAACAACTATATGTCCACAACTGTAAAAAGAAAATGTTAAAGATCATAAAATTTTAACGAAAAAAATCAAGTTTTGAGCTGCTTCAACAATGACTTACCTGTACATTAGCTCACAGAACAGTGCCAACAATGCAACCTGAAGTTGGGAATCTGTAGGGATAAGCAAATGACATCAGACATCAATGACCTGCCAAAAAAATAAGGTCATAAGATGATTTCTGAAATAGGATAGCTTTCATTCAATCACTCCTTCCTTCAATGTTTACTGGATCTAAATACACAGAGCTATATTTTTTTTTGTAAGCAATATAATACTTGTTTCTCAAAAGGGTCCCCGAAGGCCTTTTGGGGTCCTTGACGCTCTGGACTGTCAATCAATCCGAGCAATAAACTTTTTTTATTTACGCTAGCTGTTCCACGAAGCTAAATAGACCAAACCATATGCACCGAGCGAGGGCTGATCACGCTTTGTTTCTGAACCGTGCTAGGATTTTAAATACATAAAGTCAAGCTGAAGATGCCAGAATTCCAGAACAAACATTTTTTTTTAAGGAAGTCAGAGCCATAAAAATAAGACCTCATCAAGCACAATTACTCGTTAGAGATTATAGTTCTTTAGAAAAAGAAGTTATCTAATACCCAACCCATCATTGAATGAACCGAAGGTGGATTCAGCTCGGGACCGTTACTACGAGTGATTGGCAAAATAACCCGTAATAACAGTCTTAAAATCAAGGGACAGCACCGTGGAACGGGAGTTCCCTGTGTCTGTGATCTGCCGTGCCGACTGCCACGTCATACAAGTTCGCAGCAGGTGCCCACTTATCAACTGCCCATTTTTGTGCAAGTTTCTGCCGCCGCACAACGAAAGATCGACCACCCCTCGCTTTTTCAATGCTTATCTCATTGCCATAGATGGGTGTCCGTCTGAGAGATAACGACGTGGATTCTCAAACTGGTTCCGAGGAACCCGGACTTTCCCCAGAGTACCCAGAAGCATTCCGCGAGCTCCCAAATTTCCTCATCCACCCTGCCCTTCATCAAACACTATATTAAAATATATGAGCCACCCATTGATGTGTAACTATGTGCCCAAAACTCCCTGGTGCAGTCATGTCTCGCTAATATGGATGCTTCCATTCCCCAGAAGCATTGTCCGTAATGCAAGTTATCGATGATAATGAATCGGGGTCAAAATGCACACATTAACAAGCATAGAGGTGACTTCCTCCTTTCCCTTTTCTCCAACCATAAGACAAGAGAGGAAGGAGGAACTCGTACCGGGACCCTCTTTTGTGAGTCCCAGAGGTCGCTTTGTTAGCCGTTTGCTGAGTTGCGGTGAAAAAGGGGATAGGAGAACTTAGCTTTGTGGGTTCAGAACTCCTCTCCCTCCCATTCCCCAAACAGTGACGAGGTCTACAGTGAGGTGATCAAGCTGCTTTAGGGTCCCTTCTTCCTTTCTCCCCATTATAGGTCATGCATAGGGCTCCGTGTTTATTTTTTAGCAAAAATTCAGTGTTTATCGGAGTTTATTTTTCGTAAATCTCCAATTCTCCGAAATTCGGAGATGAATTTCTCCGTATTTCCTATTAAAAATGATAACTAATAACCGGATGCAAACAAATGCCAGATAAAAAATAAAACGCGCTTCTATTAATTAAGATTTCTTCAGCTGAATTTGGCGTTGTTGTATTTGGCAATACTAATTTATCCCACGACAAAAGTCGCATACAAGTGTGGCTTCGATAAAGGTCGATAACTTAAAATCAATAAACTGCCGGAGGTAGCCGCAAGGAAGCTCGTAGTCATCCCATCAATCCATCCCGCGGCCGCGCGAGGTGGAGTGGTTAAGGATGTAATAGACAAGTTTCAACTGCCCCTCTTCCCTATTTTATACAATCTCTATGATCCATAGCTTTCACTGTTACCCCCAGAAACGTACCCTCTCCTTCCTCTAAATCCCAAATCCCATGGCCCAAACTGGAAACCAAAAGAGTGGCTTTTGTCGTGACACGAATGGTTCGATGACCTGTTTCCCTGAACCAACCTTTACGAGAAAAGCCGTAAGACCTCCTTTTGACAACTGTCCGAGGTTTGAAAGATAAATATGGTGTCATTTTCCCAGGACCATTGGTCCTGCGCTGCTCAAATTGTAAAAAAAATAACCTTTTTTATTTTGGGGGGGGGGGGGGGGGTGGCATGGGCACATAACAATTCTGAGTTTATCGGATAAATCCAAATTGACAAAAATTTTGTTTGCCGGCGGGTGTTTTTCTGAGTTTTTCGGATTTATCCGAAAATACGGAGCCCTAGTCATACACCATCTCGAGCAACAAAAGACTGCAAGCGGGAATGACCCTCTTTACGTCAAAGACGAATCAAAAACATCTTTTGGTGCGCAGCTCTTATTGCGAGACCCGCAACAAACCGTACGGGTGCAAACTGTGACCTCTCGGGTTCAGTGCCATCCTCCGAAAGCTTTTGTACCTTTTAAACTGGGATACTGGCATCCATAATGTTAAGACCCTTCATAATAAGACAAAAATGCCCGTATTTAGTCAATTTGTCCTCAAAATAGCCGCCCATAGTCCGGACTGTGGGTTCTCATATTAGCGGGGCAGAGCTGCACGATGAAGGATCGGTCGCCGAAAATATTATCCATAACGTGAGGTGTCTATATTAGCAAGGTCCGTATTAGCAAGGCCTGACTGTATGTGCATTATTGTTTATGACGTCTGTAAGTCTCTGCATTGCTTTACTGATTTCTTAAATGGACTTCCAGCCGTTAGGGAAATTTTCTCAGACTGTGTATCAAAACACAGCTTTAAAAATAGTATAAAGTGGTAGCTTCTGTCATGTCATATTGAGTAAGTAATTTTAGATTGTATTTTCACTGCGTATGAGTTGCACTACCTGGTTTGTTTATTTCCAAAGTGTTAAGAAATGCACTAAGCTCTGTACAAAATATGCTGTGTTGATTAATGTTGATGTGCTATTGTATCTTCTTGTACTTTTTTAAAGGGGCAGTGACACATCAAAATCATATTTTTTTTCACTATCCGAAACGATTGAAAACGATTCCAAGACATTACTCTCAAAATTCAAAACTTGGGAATTCAGTATTTGTGAAGTAAAAAAAACAATTTCCAAATGCCTAATTCGAAGTTCCCGCGCGATTCGCGCTGGTGCGTTGACGTCAAATATTGCAGAGTCTTGAAAGTCAACTTTCTTTCATGACTATGTGCTGTTGCCATCGTGACCCAAGGCGAGAAGGAAAGGAGCGAGCGCCGGCGGACCGGTTTTGAGCGGTGTCGCCCATTTTTTGAGGGAGGATACAAATCCAGGAGGCGGCACCACAACGCACTCAGATTTTTGGTATTTCAAAAAGAAGGGCCGTAATGCGTCCGCAATTGCATTAAAAAACATGCTTTACGATTGCCGTTATTAAATGTTATAGAAATATTGCCTACAAAGCTTCTAAATTTCATGATCCTTGACGTCACGAATCAAAAGAAGCGAGGAGGCAAAAAGCGGGAGAGGAGGGCGCCAAAAAATAAAGGCGCGCACGCCTGTAAAAAAAATTTTTTCGCAATGCGTTTTTTTTTTTTTTTTTTTTGTTGGCTATGATTGCAACGTGCATCGTTTTAAACAATAAAACAAAAAATACGACCCTTGGGGTGTCACTGCCCCTTTAAAATTTATTGTTTCTGTTTTCGCCTGCTAAGCAGTGTAAACGGGTGATAGGGCCACGTCAGGCAGAGTTAATCTGCCTTTTGCCCTGTTAGCCTAGAAATAGTGTCTAAATAAAACCAATTCAATTCAATTCTATATCAATGTCGAGACCAGGAGAGGATCCTCGGCTGCCTTTAAGAATTCTTTGAAAATGAAAAGTTTGCCGAACCAAAGGGCGAGGGTGTGGCACAAACCCAAGACCTGCACGTTTCGAAGCAGCTCCCCACCTGTGTAGGCGTAGACCCTGTAGTTGGTCTCGACCACAATGTAGCCCGCCTCGTAACTGCGGAGGTTGGTCTCCTTCAGACCCGAGGCCAGGTTGATGGCCAGCCTCGTGGGGTAGAACCGCCCGGAACGCCTCTGAAACAACCGAGACAGCTCCAGTGCTCTGCAACCTCTAAAGGACAGCACGCTCACAAACGCACGACACGCTTCGTTCGAATATTGATGCCGACTCAAGCGCACATTCTCCGAAATATAGAGCCTTGACCCGTGCTGAGTGAACACCCATCTTTTTCAGTTTTGCTAGCTTCCCGACAGACCGAATTTCACGGCGGAGTTTAAGAGTGTCTTGATTACGCACTCGCTATACTGCGCTTGTTGCAATTGTTTACGCTTTCTCCACATCTTATCAAATGGTGTCTCGTGCATTTCCTACCCGCATACAGGGGTGAATTTATGGCTCAGGCTTGGGTGGGGGGAAGGTAGGCGTTTGGCTGGCGTGGGGACAAGGGGGGGAGTCTGCTGAGATGTGACGTTACGGCCGAAACATTGCCCAGATTTATTTTGTTGACCCAATATTAGCTGTCTTCAAAAACTAAACTTTCCGCTGGTGTACACCAATTTTTTTATTAAAAATATTTGACCATAGGAAACTTAAAAGGGGCAGTTGTCCGTCCCACCCGCCCCCCCTAAATCGACCCCTGACCGCATGTCAGGAAACAATTGCCAGAACTCAACCTCTCCACTCGGACAAACAAAACCTTTTTGAGTAAACATTTTGCATTTTCATTTGGCATAGGTATTCACTTTACAAGATTTCAAAGTGTAACTACGAAGTGGCCAATCATGGCTCTACGACAGCAAACATTGCCATTTCTTTTGTACCACATACATACTTTAAAAAAAAAAGATAATTCGACAAGTTCTCTACTTCATTCAAACTGCGCATAAAGACGTCGAAACAAACATGTTTCAAAACACGTGGTCAAAGCTGTAACAGGGATGTGATTGGCCTAGGCCATTTTGGAGAACCTTCCGGAGCAGCCAAAACAGTGTTTTGGGGCAGCAAAAGTGGCCTTTGGAGCAGAGAAAACAGTGTTTTGGAGCAGCAAAAGTGGCTTTTGGAGCACCTGGAACAGTGTTTCGGAGCAGCAAAAGTGGCTTTTGGAGCAAATATTCTTAGAAAAATAAAAATATCTGTTTCAAGTGCTGGACAAACGAAGGACACTTTGCTCGCTGCAATAAACAAATTATAGTCAAGTTAGACCACCTGGGAGTCTTTCCACATGTAACTGAAATGGCAATGACATGACCCATTTTGCAATGCTTCAGTTAAATTATACATAATATGTACCTGGTATAGGCAAATAAAAACCAAACTGCACATAATAAAATTTATTTGAAAATGACCAGCTTAGTAGTAAATAGCACAGCATTAGGTTGACCAACTGATCAAACATGTAACTACTGCAGTGCAATGCAAAATTATCACGCGAGCGGAGATGGCTGTTCAATTGAAACAATGCCACTCCGCTCCGTCGCCAACTGGTTCTCAAAATTGTAAGCAAAATGTAACTGTCCAGCATACGACAAAAAACAGTCCAGCAGCGCGTGCTTGCCAGGCCGGCAGGCAAGGCACAAGCTAAACACACAGAAAAAAAAAAAGAACCTGAGCACATCGATGCAAGACATCGCGAGCCAGGATCAAAAAGTTCTTGGAGCGCTTTGTGCAATGACTAAATTCGAGACAAACAAGCACGCTGTGCAGGTTCAGCGTGCAGACATAGCCTTCTTTGCTTTAGCTCACTTCTCTTCACCAACTTTCTTTCGCGGCAGATTTTTCACATACCGGGGTCCCTCTCAAAAGAGAACCTACCGAGAGAAACCCAGGAAATCAATACTTCAACACAGCAGTATTTGAGCTAGAGAGACTTTTGTAGCAGCGTATTAAACAAAAACAAGAATGCTGATGAACATGCGGCGGTCCTTACATTTCAGCTTAGAAAGCACCATATCTGCAGTGACGTGGGGACGGCAACACCCGACGCCGCGCGACCACGGTGACTGGCAGGCAGGGACCAAATATAGTTTTCCTACGGCCGTTGCGTTCAGGAGTGAGTGCTTCAGCTCACAAAGTAACTCCCGCCACACAAAAAACGTGGTTTCGTTTCGCAACATGACAGCATGGCTGGTACCCAACATGCTAGCGTTGGAGCATCTGCACACGCTCGCGTCTAGCGCTTAAATATTTTTAAAAAGACGCGAGACAATTAGGGCAATGAGAGCGCAAAACGAGAGACGGTGGGAAAAACCACGCAAGACCGGACGAACGATTGACGCAGGGTACTTATGTCAGGCGGCCGCTTGCGCCACCTAGCTCACGCATGCTCATTAGCGGTACTTGGTTTAGTTTCGGTTTTGAAAGGCGACCAAAATTGGTCCTTTGAAGCAGGTTTGGTGCAGATTACCTGTATCTTGTCAAAATGTAGCAGGATGTAGCAGGGTTTGCCCCTTGGCGCAGTTTGGCGCAATTGGCGCAGCAATCACATCACTGCTGTAAGCAGCTTTCTCTTGGACAAATTTGCACCCCGATAGAAGCTTTTGAGGATTTTTAGCCACGTTACATCCCTCATAATGACCAAGCACATTGATTCAATGCAATTCGCTGCCATTGCTTCCCCATATAATTCTCCGCCAATAAACACTAAGTGGCACTGAACAATGGGCAATGAAGGTAATTCCGCCAACTCGCTCGGCCCCTACATTGCGGACCTCACTTATCACCTCATCTTTTATTGATAAATATTGACTCGCGACTGCTCAGTAAGCTTTAATAAAGCTTCTGGATGATGTATCGGTCGTGACATAATCTCACATGCAAAAAAACAGCTATGGCAAGTGAAAGTTGGCAAATTACTATATAGAGTCGCCAACCAATTTTTCGGATGCATACAATTATTCGGACGTTTTTGCCAAAATGTCTCTCACCCCCATAAGAGTTCATGTAAAACATTGACCGAAATTTCGGACACCACAAAGCTTGTTGCTCGATATTTCATACATAATTTGTGTGATTTCCTCAGTTTACAGCCATAAAACAGCCACCTCGACAGCGCCGCAAGCTTAGTCATTGCCATTTTGGTTGTTTTGATTTCGCCCTGTAGCCTCAAGGCCTCGATATCACGTCCTACGCAATAAACAAGTTAAGTTAAGGCTACAGTCTGGTTTCCCGATTCCGCTATAGCCAACATGGCCACCGTCTGCCCATTCTTATGCCTCTTCCAGTTTTTCTTGTGGTCAGTGTTTTCCGAGTGTGACCGCGAGAAGAGCGGCCGTCTGCTGTTCTTGTGGTCTTTGAGCACGAAGGTATTTTGCCAATAGGCGTAGTATTGAAGCAAGCTTGGTGGACTAAACATTGTCTACAAATAGTGCCAAACGGCGCCAGCTTCAACTTCGCCATTTGTGCCAACAAAGGTGCCGACAAAGTGCAGCACCGTGATCAAACATATCAACAAACAAGTGAAAAGTTAACAATATAAAGCGGAAGTTGCACGAGAACTTAAGAATGACATCAAGCAAGTGCTGAAATTGATTTTTCGAACTGCATGATTATTCGGACAATTTCGGGGTCCACTATGAGTCCACAAGATCGGTCGGCGACTGAACTGCACTACTTTATTTTCACAGGATCAATATTCTATGAATTTTGCGTAGTGCAAGTATAGGGAATATTTCGCAGCATGAACTCTTGCGATTGGGAGTGGTACGCCATGTATCCGCTACCATAGGGTAATATAGTTGCAGGGCCTATCGTTCGCAACATTATTCATGTCGCAAAACTTGCCAAAAATTAGGACCTCACAAGAATTAAGTCATTTACAGTTCTTGGTGCCAAGTTTGGGATTTCTGAATTAAAAAGGTTTCTCAAGTAAATATACTGGCCTAGAAGATACCAAAGCAGGATGTCTAACATAAGAAAGCCCCGTGAAACTTATCACAAAAAGCATTTGTGTCTGGCTGTCACCAAGTCGTGACCGGTGACAATCGGCAAACTTTCTTAATTCACTGCCACGTGGTCCAGATAAACTATCTCGGAGATCAAAATAGAGTACACAAAATGCAGTTTGCACTGTCCTTCTATCTAAGAAATTGCCCAAAACATATTCTATTCAAAGTTTTCTGAAATTGCCCACCAGTAACCAAATAGATTGCAAAAATGTGCTACGGCTTAGAAGTTTCACAAATTAAGGTCGGCAGAGATATGAACAGCCCAACAACTTAGTGAATTCACCAAGCACCAAGCTCTCTACTTGCCAGCTCGTACAAATAGCCCATGTACATATTTCAACACCCAATTCGAATATCAGTGTAGTATTCAGTTTCTATGCATTAGGTAGTAGCATTAGGTACTTCAATTCATTATTAAGGATTGAATATTTTTCAAATTTTCTGTTATGGTTCTTTTAGGACCTTTAAAGATACACTAAATCGGAATTTGAGATTTTCTTTTTATGCACAAACTAAACCTACATGCATTAAACATCACATAAAAACAAAAAATACAATCATGTCTGTCATTCTTTTTTTTTTTTCTATAAAAAAAACACGACCAAACATTGCGACATGCCCCTTTTCCCGAGACAGATCTCAGAAAAAGCGGGCGTGGTGCAACTAATGAAGTTCATGCAAGGGTGCAGGCAAGCTGGTTAAGAACTGACATTTTATTACCCGGGAGGGTGGGGAAACAGGACAGGACATTCGTGTTGTCCTGTCCTGTTTCCCCACTTTTCATGGTTACAAAATGTCGGTGATGCTATGTTTGGGTACATTTTATTTAAAGGTAAAGGCCATCCACGACCGTAATTTTCAGTGTTTAGGGTGTTTAGGGCGTGTACGTGAAGCTTGCGTCATAAAAAGAAAATCTCAAAATCCATTATAGTGCCCTTTTACAAGCACCTCCCTTCGGTGCAGACGCACTGCGGTAAAATGACACCTGACACAAGCGGCCTCCAACCTCCAGAAGCAGGAAGAAAGGTCACCTCTCATGGCTGGGTTCGTCAAAGCATGCAACGCAGAGGAGGGGGAGGCTTCAGAGCTACCTTCCGCTGGTAGACGAGTCCAAACTCCCGCAGGTGCTGCAGGAAGACCAGCAGTGACTCCGACATGCCCTCCGTGCTGTAGTCCTGCACGCCAACACCCGCCCCTCGTCACATTCGCGAAGAAGACACGACACTCTTCCGCGGCAAACACGAGCACGATCAAGTCACTTGGCTGCGAGACAGGAAAATTGTAACTTACCTAGACACTTCGAATAAAGCCGACGGACGTAGAATGGGACATGTGTTTGTGTCGACCTGTTTCGTTTTGTTTCAATCTGTTGCCTCATTTTACCCCGTTAGGATTTTTAGGGTAATTTGTTAGACAGTGGATCTCAACCACCAATGTTTTGGGGATTCGATCCCCCAGGGTGGATGGGGCCCTTGGTTACAATGACAAAAAGTAAATTAACAAAAAGACAAAATGAATGCAAACCAACTTTGAAGCCCTCAAAAGGGAACAATATTCAACCCTACTCACTCGTCACATACGGTTTGGTCTATATGCGGGTAGAACCCGAGAGATAGGAGCAGACGAGAGCGACGAGGACGCGAGAGCAGCAAGCTCCGACTGGAATGACTAGTGGGTAAACGCAAACTAGCTACCTTTGTCTCAAGTCAGTGTTTGAATGTGTTTGAATGCGAACTTTGAAAACCGACGTTCGGCGTTTGAGCGCATTCGACGACTGAGTAGAGACAACTCATTGAATGACGTCTACATATGTACTAATTATTCGGTCAAAACTCGGCGCTCTCGCCTCCTCCTTTCCCTCAGCTTCCACCCGCATAGTTTTGTGGGACATTTAGCATCAATAAAGAGTTTTAATGCTTTGGCTCGACCGGCGGTCAAGGGCTTTTGGCACCCTAAGAAGGCCTTTAGGGACCTCAAGGCGTCTGGGAACCCCCATTCGAGAACCACCGTGCAGTTAGGGAATCAGATATGAACATGCGACACATCTTGCATCGGTCGGCTTTATGCAGAGCATCGAGGAGAGTCATTGTTTTCATTACCTCATCACATAACCTATAAACTCCGTGCAACGCGACCGGCGAGTTACCAAACGGCCGTTACCAAAAGTAGGCTGCAAGAAATTCGCACTGTTCGGATCCGCCCGGACTTTGCAAATTCTGGCCAGACTGTGCAAAAGTCTGTCTGCCCTCATGGTTGCGCACATGCACCAACACAATGGGGTGTCGACTACGACCAATACCACCTAGAAGACGAGGCCGGTGTATTGCGTCGTCGTTGGTAGGTCCTCAACCCGCCCCGAGCGGCAAACGCGCCGAAGTCCGACAAGAGCCGCCGCGAAACGGCAGACGCTTCCGACTTGGCGTCCCTGTGTGCTAATGTTGAGCTCGTCGCGAGAGGCTGCAAGATGTGCTGTCAATGATGCTAAGGTAAGCGGCACTGCGTGGATCCACCATTGTTTGGGCAGGGGAGATGCAGGACTTGTGTTCAAGGCGGTGTTGCTACGGCCAACACCTTCTCAAGTCACTGGAAAGGTGAGAACGGCGTCTCTTTTGAACGCCTGGCCTCTAACATGCACTCACTGCCTTTTGCAGTGCTCTGGCTTCACGTGAACGCTGGAGGCTCACGAGATGCTGAAGTGCTACTGAAGGTAAAATTAATTAAATGTATACCGCCTTCAATTCTCCGAAATTTGTCCCCTCGATAGCTCAGTTGGTAGAGTGGTTGATTGTAGAGGAAACGATTGCTGCCATCCATAGGTCACTGGTTAGAATCAGGCTCGGCAGACGGAAATTTTTGTTTTCGTATTAACTTGGCGGCGGTGGCCGGGAGCAATCAAGCGATCGATGACGTCACCGGGAGTTTCCGTGAAGGACGACCTTGCATAGTCCCCGGGAGGTTCCCACTAACGGCTGTAGCTGTAAAATGCGCTCCAAATGCATAGCATTTAAAAGTTGGGTCACGTCAGGTGACACCAGACATGACAGTGTAACATGACATCAGGTCATGTTACGTGACACCATGACATCACTGTGTCATGAGACATCATGGGACGTCACTGTGTCATATGACATCATGGAACGTCACTGTGTCATATGACATCATGGGACCTCACCGTGTCATATGACATTATGAAACGTCAGAGTGTCATGCGACTTCATGAGACATCACTGTGTCATGTGATGTGGGACGTCACTGTGCCATGTGACATCATGAAACGTCAGTGTCTGTGACGTCACTCTGTCATAGGATGTCACTCTGTCATGTGACATCACGGTGTCATGTGACATCACGGGTGGTCACTGAGTCATCTGAATCCATGATGTCCTGTTACGACAGTCATGCCAAGGACATTGCACAAACACGATGACATCACAGTGAACCTTTTGAAACACTGATAATGCCACGGGATCACCGTGACGCCATCATTGAGGCTACATTCCATAGACTCGAAACACTAAGAGCTGATCCTATACATTGTATGCATTTAAAAAGTTTCTCGGAAGTTCAGGTTCCTTTTATATTTAGGGCTTTTTGTTTCTGAATACAACCCAATTTTCCCAAACTTTTGACCCAAACACATTTAATGAAAATCCAATAAAACCCAGTTGGCCAGCAAATATGAAAAAATGTCCCTGTCCTGAGCCTTATTATTTTAAAACTATTTTGACAAATAACAAACAATGATCAGTACTTATAGATAGACAACTATGAAAAGAACCACACATTTTCATCCAAGAAATTTGGCCGAACTCATACGCACAGCGCTGGTCCAACCCATCAAGCTTAGGTGTTGGAGTAATTTTTGGAGCAGAATCAATATTGTTTTGGGAGCAACTTTGCGTCGGGAAAACTGTGACTTTGAAGGAGTACCAGCACAAGCATAATTATACAACCCTCCTCTCAGGAAAAGGAGACTCTCACCTTCCCAAGCGTCAGGAAGCTCAGTTGGAACAAGAACGTCAAGCACTCGACAAGGTTCAGTCCCCGTGACTGCAAAAAATAAGAGTGACCACACAAGGGTTTTGCATCCGCTTTAGCACACAATGCATGGCCCACACTAAGCATTCTTAACAACACAGTGTGGCGTTCCGGCACAGAGGAAGGGGGCCAAACTTGGCTTCTCGGATCAAGCCTGCCCTGAAAGATAAGCTATTCCTAGGAGTTTATCTTTCGTCAAATTTGGAGGGCGTTCATTTCGGGGTTTATTTTGTGCCAAAAATATGGAGATTATTGGAGTTACTTTTCTTCGATTACCAATTATCCGAAATTCACTTTAATTCTGCTATGCTTTTTCTATTTTTTTTTAAATAAAAATAAATATATAAGGGTTTTAATGTGCGCAACGAAAAAACATGCTTGAGTCAAATAATATTTCTCAGCTGGATACTGCATTGCCATCCTTGCCATTGGCAATACCGTTCTGTCCTATGACAAAACTTGCAAACGAGAGTTGCTTCAATAAACAGCGATTCTTAAAATCACTGAACTCCTGGAGGTAGTCGCTGAGAAGCTTGTTTTCATCTTGTACTATTCCATCACCCTACTCTGCTGCAATAGAGTGCTAAAGGGTGTAATATAGATGCTTCAACTTTCCCCCTTCTAAGAAATCTCTATGGTTTATAGCTTTCACTGTCACAAAAACACAACCCTCTTAAAAGCACAAATAGTATGGTCCAAACTGGATACCGTAACAGTGGCTTTTGTCATGACCAAGAAGTACAATGACCCGTTGCCCTGAATGAACTTCGACGAGATAGACGCTAAGACCTCATTTGTCAATATTCCAAGGTTTGCAAAGGAAACTGGTGTGGGATTTCGTCAGTACCATTGACCTTTTGCTCTGACTAAACTTAATTGTTAAATACCATCTTTCTTTGCATTTGCCATTGATTTAAATTCAGAGTTTATCGGGTAAATTTGAATTAAGAAAAATTTTACCTGCAAATATTTTTTCAAGTGTTTTGGATTTTTCCAAAAACAAGGGACATTAGCAAGATTAGTACACATCGGCAGCAAAACGGCAGCGTCCAGTTCAAAGTCATGTGAGGTGGACTTTAGATGAGCATCCAAAATCCGCCACACTGTTTTTAATGTGTTACCGCACCAACTTTGCGTAAAAATACTGTAAAATACCGAGCAAGTAGTTGGGAGATAATCGTTAAAGCCTGGGGGATAAGTCATAGTTAGACCCAAAACCAAAATCGAGAAGAGGCACATGACAGGATGGCCTTCACCGCTTTGCACTGGGTGCTTGGAGAAGCAGTCAGCTAGGTGGGCTCACAAGTCTGGTGTGGGCACTTGGCATGTCCTTTGCTTAGTTTTCAAACATTACTAAAGTAGCAGGTGGGCGCTTGTTATGACGTGGCTGCAGCTCGCTATTTTACGTTAGTCGTGAAGGCGTAAAGGCCGTTTCGCCGACCATTCTTTTAATGTATCGTCAGTCACCATACGACGAAGCAGCAAATTTATAAAAAAAAAGTATACTGCCTCTGCTCTGCCTCACAGTTTCTGGGAAAACCAGTGCCAGAGGTTCACGGAAAGGTTTCCGCCAACCGACAAGAAACGGACGCCGCGGCGGGCAAACAAGGGCTTACCTCCAGAGTGTCCAGGTATTGAAGCACAAAGTGCCACACCTGGGAAGCAGTGTCCATCAAGAGAAACTGGAACCCTTCCATGGTGATCAGGGGGGCACTGCCCTCTTCTTCCTCCCTGGGAGCATAAGGATGGGGGCAAAGAAACCAAACAATGTGTCCTAACAGAATCCAGGTTTCGTACTGTCTGAAGGCATGCCTTTGAGTGGACGCGGTAGGCAGCAGAGTTGACCGCCTGCAAAACACCCCTTTGCACACATTGCGTGCGTTATGAGTGACCCTAGACGACCCTGCTCGACTTCAGTCTGGGTGTTTGTGCACTCTCCGCATCATTGCAACAAGAAAAGATGAGAAGATGCATCATAAAAATATGGCAATTCTGCATAACACAGTTTGATCAAGAAACACAACTGCTAATATTTTTCTTAAAAAATGCACTTCAAAACATAGACAACCCTGATAGTAGTACTTGTGGTGCAGATTCAATAATTTCGCCTTAAATAAATTTTAAGGCATCAAAATTCATATTCTTTCATTGTCCCAAAGGTTCTAAACAAAAGTCTACTCCCTTTTTTTTCTCTCTCTCTGATCCTCCTTACCTCTTCCCTTTCAGTGCCATGCCGTGATGAATATAGTCAAGAAATATTAAAACTTTAGAAGCTTCGAAGCATTACTTTGTTTTAACACATTATCAACATTTATGAACCAACTATTTAGTTGAATTCAAATTATACTAAAAGCAGTGACCGGAAGCCAAGAAAATTCCCTCGCATCACAATGAAGCAGGCAACTGGGAATGACAGAGATTTTGTTTCCCAACACAGAGACATGGGGAGGTAAGGCGGCAGCTTGTCAACCAAGCATGGTGCGAGGCGCGGAAGTATTAGTGCGCGCCATAGTATGCTCGTGCCAGAGTAATTAAGTTTGGTCATTGGCTATTTCTTGATTATTACTTTCTTGTGTCCAGAACCAGCCCTAAGTAGTGGCAGACAGAAGCACATGCACTCTAATACAAGGAACACATGTGCAAGAACAAGCAAAACACCAGCATTAGTTAACAACTCGATGGTCAGGGCATTTCTAAGAGCACGCTTAATACTCAAATATATTTACGCAATACTGAGTGGACTAAAACCATTATCAATTCGTAAGATGGAAGAAATTCGGCATAGATCATGTACCGTATTTACACGAATGTAGGTCGACCCATTTTTCAATTTGTGAACATCTGAAGGGGGGGGGTCGACTTATAATCGAACCAAAGCATTCCACTGCCGACAAAGATGAAACATTTGCGATATCAAGAACACCTCGACTTGTTACAAGTTCAACCGTCTGTACCTGTTGCATTGTACTATTTTTTGCACTCACTTAATAAGTTCTTTTTTTCTTTTATTTGCAAGAACAAGTATTATTGATTGTGATTAGAAAATTAGCTTGAATGTACTGTGGTGAACCGCACACCATAAAACTTGCATCTGCTGCGTCCGCGATTTGCGGTATTCGTTCCCATGAGATGAGAGTTTTTGGCAAGTTTGCCCGGGTCCTTCGCACCGTGAAATGCAAATCTGCTGTGTCTGCAACCTGCGGTATCCTTTCCCATGACACAGGAGTTTGTAGCAAATTCCCACGTGTCTACCGCATCGTGAAATGCGAATGTGCGGTGTCCGCGATCTGCGGTATCAGTTCCCGCGTCACGTGGTTTGTAGCTGGTGCCAGGGTGTTTATCATCAATTTTCGATAAGGTTTTGTTGTGGCGTCCCCAGAGATAGCCCACCCCACGTTTTTGACCATTTATCTTTTCATTTTGGGTGGGCATTCTTTGGGAACTTTACGGTAGTTCTTGCAAATTACAACTACCGTAGAATACCATGCACCCACCCATCCCACATTAAGCGCCCATTTCCAAATTTGTAAGATCTGAGAAAATACGCACAGTACATTTATATGTAAAATTGATGACCGGCAAGCACCCATCCCCAGTTTTCTTGCTATAATCTGCAAAGTTTGAGTGGGCGCTTGCCCGGTATTTTACGGTATGTTTTGTGCGGTGAGATTCTTTTTGTATGTGGTGGCTGATTAGATATAACAAATCAGAGTGAAAGGAAATGACTACTCCTCCATTCACACAAATCAAGTGCATGTCGTGTAATCTGCCATGTTAATTCGTGTAATCCGCCATGTTAAACTGAACTGCCTCTGTCAGTGTCAAGTCAGCCATCTTGCAAAGGTATTGGGTGCATAATTAGTAATGTGTCGGGACTTTTTGACAAGCATTCAGTGGCTCGTCAAATACTCAGTGGACTTATTAGGTGCAGTGAAATGTTATCGTTCTAATGTTAACTTTAGATTCTTCAAGCTGCTATGATGCTTTAGAGACTGGTGCCTGCTATCTTTCTTTCGTATTAATTATCTTTTAAATAACAATGTTAAAAATCAGAACTCCACAAGGTGATACAACTTTCTACAATAAAGCTTTGAGAAAAATTAGGGGCAGGCACACCATCATGCCAATTTTTAGGACTGATTGTTGATCACTGTGTTGATGATCCTTGTTGATCAGTTTTATTCAAACTTCAATATTTCCCCGGTGTATTTATTGTGTACATGATTAAAGCAAGTGCTTCAGCATTGCTGCGATTGCTGCACACGCTTGGCTAAAAACCATAATCCTACAACGTATGCCGCCAGCAGTGCTCAAGCTTGTTCACATATCCGGAAACGCATGGCAAACTTTTGCGGAACATTTTCCAAGAAAATTGGGCAAATGCTCAGCCTTGCCAAACCCCAACTAGGGCAAATTCAACCCGGAGCATACAGCACGGAAACGGTGAAAGCACGTACGACTTCATGAGCCCCGCATGAAGGAGAATCCGCACTGCGTCCGCACTGATGCCTTCCTTGGTGTGGCAGCCCACCATGAAGTGCAGCACACACTGCAATGGGATGACAGCACATGGAGATACTTTGTTGGATAACAGGGAGCACAGAGATCAACCACAAGCCCTAAAACAACTGCTGCAAGTTTAAAAAACAAATGGTTTACCTTACCGAGTTTCAGTGCAATAATTGAATTAAAAGAGGCAAACAACTAAAGGAGGCCACTCCTAACTCTTTTTTTTTTTTTTAAGTGCTTTGGTTTTATAAGCAAATGAGTACAAAACAAATGGAATCTGACTTGTTCCACATACCTTACATCCTAATGCAATACAACCTACTTATCATGCCACTCGAAGCAAAACTACAAAATCAAAATAACCCACTTATACTAAACCCCACGGTAAAACAACCAGCTAAATTGAGCAACTACGGAGCCTGGAATGTGCCTTGGATTGGTCCGTTTACCGCCCATGCGTTCAAAAAGGTCCCAAGTGGCGACCATTGCGTCGCAGAGTCCGGCGCGACACAATGGCGACGAAAAAATTGAGCAGTCCCGTTTCCCAGTCCCAGCGATGGCTGTGACACGTCACGGCGAAGTCGTTCGGCATCGGCGTAGCCTTCACCCACCGTGGGGTGCGTGAACAGAAGCGCTCAGAACAAAATACATAGACATCTGACAGGCAGAAAATGAGGAACCCCTTTTGAGGACGCAGTAAACACGACAGTTGAAGACCCGTTCTAGGCACGACACTCAGCGTAACTTTTTTTCTTTTTGCCGATGATGATAATGCTGTTAATTACTATGAGGATTATTATTATTATTGCGAAATGCCCGGTGCCTCACCTCCCACCGCTCCATGGCATACCGGTCGAGGAACTGCGCGTCCCGGCCGTGCTTGTCCTTCTCCAGGGTACTGTACACTGCCCACGGCTGGCCACTGAAAAGGGTCATGATCCTCCGTCTTAGCAAACTTGATCCGGTCGAACGAGACATCTCTAGAGTATCGACAAAAGCGGAAGCGTGTCAAGCGGCAATTCGCAACTGCTCGCGGGCTGAAATTCGCATTTCGATTCACATTTGGAGCGTCCATCAACGACGTTTAGAAGGGACTCTCTTCTGCAGGTGCGCGCCAACGAAAACGCACGCGAAAGTTGCCACGTTTCTGCAGATCATAGTAAAGACTCTGGCAAAGTTCTCAACAAGTTTCCAAACTTTTCTTGGGCTGCCAAAACTACCTGGAAAGCTTTGGATATTTTCCATAGGTTAGGTAAACAAGTCTAATCAGAAAGCCAGTCTCCCCAACTATGTCAGGTCTACAACTTGCCGAGCAAACTACAGCCGACTACGAGATGTTTTTTTCAAGACAGCAAGTTATACTTTTTTCCGAAGGCACTGGAAATAGAGAGCCGATTCCTTCGGGATAATGTAAGCCACCGTTGGTGGGCTTCAGGTAGAGAGTTGAAAATGAAAATGAATGAATTAATTACCTAAAATTATCTAATTAACTTCTTTCGTATTCCCTTTAGCTGGCCAATTTGTTGCTGAAGATTAGTTGCTCGTCATCAAATTATGCTATAGCAGTTGTTAAAAATAAGGCAACCAGGTTCTGCTCCACGCTATTCATTGGCGAAATTAGGCTGTCAAGTTTCCCCCACACTGTAACTAATGCAGAAAGAGCACAAAAAGCTCAGTGCTTGAGTATCGATACAGCAGGGTAGGGAACACCCTTTTCGGCAAATGGCTAGTCGCCATCCGCTTCCACTGCATAGGCTGACGTTGCTTCCGGGTGGAACTTCCACCACGGTTTTTGTGTCTTGTTTCGGTATGCCGTCTGCCCAAGGCTTAAATCTGACACAGAATTGCACAGAGCAGAATTTTATTGTTCTGACAATTGCTATGGCATATTTTGACGACGGGCAACAAATTTTTAATTGAAATATGTCAGCCGAAGCAAATATTTAAAAAGTTAATTAGTAAATTTTAAGCAATTCATTTATTTCCTTACGCTCTCTACCTGATATCTGCCACAGTGGGTAACATTATCCCGAAAGAACCAATTCTCTATTTTCAGTGTCCTATTTTTAAAAATTACTATTGTCTTAAAAAGCCTCTTGATATAAAAAAGAAATCATAAAATAATGTTGGGTTTCCACTGTGTACTTTCAAATGCCTTTATAACAAGATCCCCAGAATTAATGAGAATGCCCTAGCTAGTTCAGTAATCCATCACTAGCTCCAAGTCCAATGTTTTGAAACAATTGTTAACTTGAATGTTTCTGTGCGTGTTTTGAGTGTTTAATTTTTTTCCCCTGTTTTTGCTGCTTTATATAACAACGTTCGCCAGCATGTAACCCAGTTTTTGTTTGTTCCTTTATATAATGTTTCTTCAGCAGGACTGTGCAATGCCCGTAAGGACCTTCAAGGGTTACAGTCCCCATCGAGAAAAAACTGTTTTCAAAAATTGACATAGGACAGATATGCATCTCATATTTTGAGGTAACAACTCCTCCCGAAATGTTTACATCTGAGTTATAAAAACTAGACAGCCCCAAAGTCCCTCATCCCCATTGTTTATATTCAAGCAGTCAAAAAGGCACTTAAGGGGGGACACTACCCAGAAAAAACAATTTCTGCAAAAAAAAGTTGATTTTGAAAAATGTCATATTTACATCCGTCAACATCTAGAGAGTATTCCCAGAAAGTTTCATTAGTTTACACTGCATAGTTAATTTTTTATAAATTATTTTCGGTCCACCGATGCTAAAGAAAAGGTAGAGATTGGAGCACTTTGAACGCATTTTTCTCCATTCCACTTTTTGGCATAAATTTCACTTTAGGAAAACTATCGTTTTGTTATTATGCAACTTGGATTCATTTTTATGAATTTTTCTGGGGTGAAATTTTAAGGGGAAGATAACTATGAGCTTGTATTTTTTATTTTTGTCATTTTTCATGCTCAAGAACTAAAAGTTTGGACAAAGGATGGAAATCTAAAAAACTGTTTTCGTGTTTATGTGACTTTTTTGTCATGAAAGTTGGTATAATATAGAAATATAGCTCCATAGTTATCTGCTCTGAACTGTCCTAATGCTATGTAACACATGAAAACGACAAATTTATAAGTAATTTCAAAATGATAGTTTTCCTACGCAGACATGCCCACTTTCGTCTTTGATCGTTTGCAATTTTTTGTGTACTTCACCCAGGTTAACAAAAATTGGCAGAAATGTTCTGAACATCAACAGAAACAAGCCCTGTAAATATAATTTTAATCAGAGAAGTGGTTCAAAAATGTACTTTTTTGGGTAGTGTCCCCCCTTAAAAGGCAACTCCACTTTATTTTTTTTTGGGGGGGGGGGGGGGGTTTGGTGGCCGAGTGGGCTAGCGCACACCAGCTCAGAGCCTGTGGAGCGAAAGCTCGCACTGCAGAACCCAGGAATCCTGGGTTCAATCCCTACCTCTGCCCGTTTCGATCTGGATGAGCATCGTACCGGCGTGCGGTCGTGTATCACTATTGCGTGGTTCACATTAAAGACCCCAGGCTAGCGGTCGTACTGCACAGGCTAAATTGCCCATCTACAGCTGGGAGACTCGTCGCCCGTTGAGGCCGACCAAGTTCTAGGCTGTATAAACATACACACAACCCAATTTTTTTTTTTTTTTCATTTCATTTTTTGTTTTGAAAAAAAAACAAAGCAGTCCTCTTCAGTATCGCCTAGGAAGACCATACGTCAAATATTACGACACAGTTCTGTCTAAATGTTTCTTAAACATTCCAACAAGCTTTGCAACTCGTCCAGTTGCCGAAATCGGCTGACTTGAGCGGGCGAATTCAGGCGCAACCAAAAGTGCAGTCAAGGCTACGGCGTGGGCGCAGCCAACATTGAGCTAAACGTCATCACCATTGTCCCCTTTTGCTTGTTTTTACTTCTCTGTGCAAGCGTAACGGGTGATGTCAGCAACGTGTCCTCTTGGCGCTCAGAGGTGTCCATGCGATTGGCGTAATGTGCCTGCGCAGCACACTTCTTGGGAGCCGTACCGCCGACCCGCAGTGGTTTCGTCGTTACCGTCGTCTCCCGCGTCACAACCACCATCGTCGTCTCATCATTTGTGATTATTATCTCTCGGAGTTTCGCCCACACTACGGACACTACGTGTGCAGACATATGCCGCAGTTGTGCAGATGTCGTCGAATGTCATAGACACCAAAACGTGGCGAAGACTGCGGTGCAGATGACACTTGCACCTGGTACATGCCTGCCCCGATCCTGCCCATCGTTGTGTAGAGGACCACGTGACATCTCGTACCACGTGACGGCCATGTTTTTGGCGGCCCGAGGCCAATGTTGCCGGACGGAGCCAAAGTTCCGGTTTTGATTTCCGCTCGCGTTTAAAATTATATTTAAAAATATATATCCCATTTTTCGCGAAGCAAACGACGTGGTGTCTTTTACAAGGGCCTTTTTAATGCAAAATCACTCATTACCCCGAAATCTTCGAAATTGAGCGGAGTTGCCCTTTAATAGCTTCATTTGCATATCATAGATTTCTTAACGAAGAGCGACACATCACCTTATGCAGGTATGTAAAACATTCCTAGAGAGCTGAAAGTCGGCACAGTACACCTACATCCGATGTTAAATCTCCCCTGCAAATTTCATTCCAATCACTCGGGTAATTCAGAAGTTAAATCTCTAGTCAGTGTTCCCCCTAAGATGGCATAAGAAAGGGGATACTAAAGCCCCGTCCCTTCAGTTTTCTGCTGTCCAAGATGAGCGCGTGGTTTATCTAATGTAGACACAAACAGAAAACCTCAATTACAGTTAAGCAGGGGCACAGCACACGCAGGACCAATGAAAATGGGTGCCACAAAACAGCGCGTGGCAGTTTCTGTAGTAACTGGCTCGAGCACTCGGGCGCGTCCCTACGTTACAGGGACCTATGTGCCTTGCGACGCGGCGCCACTCGGATCTGGTGTGTCCAGGAAATGCCGCACGGTGACAGCAAGAGTTGAGCGGCAGAAAAGCAAAGATGGCAACCGTTCCGTTCAATCTTCAGTTTGGGTTCGGTGACATGTGTGGCTCGAACGTTCTCGTGAGAATGTTCTACTCATCTGTAAAGTTACTCGAAGCCCCATGAATTACACGAAAGGTGTTGCGAGATCATCGACTCAACTAGCAACCGGCAGGTCTTCCTGGACAACGACGACAAATCCGAGAAGCGGCGGTACGATGCCAAGATTGGTTTGGTTGTTTGCATTCAAGGCGGGGAATCTGTTAGCTCTCTGTTCGGCGCCATAATTGGCGCCAACTCTATGTTCGGCGCCAATGATGGCCCAGCAACTATGTGCTTCCTGCAAGAGGCTTTGGTGTGCATGTGCCTTGGTTCCACAAATATCGCCGCATATTGCCAGCTCATGCGGAGTGTCACGCGGCGCCCAGTTCAATCGCTCATGTGTCCCCGGCTTTAGACATTTTAACCACCATTTTTGACAGATGCAACTTTGTCGTCCGACATTTCACACTATAAAGAAACATTTGACCGTACAGCCACTCCAAGCTAAGATGTTACGCTCAATTAAATGGTGCAATGCTTATAAGAGCACAGTGCATTCACGAGGGCACCCATCAAACCACCCTGGCATCGTTGCCACGAGGCGGCTATGCAGTTGCCTCGCCACAGACACCATCACATGGTCGTGTCGCCGCGAGGTCGATCGGGATCTCAAATTGGGCTCCCGACGTGCCGCTTTCTCTCCTAGCCATTGGATGGCGCTGCAGGCGCCCCAGGGCAAGCGAGGAGAAACCTCCCCGCCCATCGAGATATAGACGGTGGACCGGGGGGCGAACAGCCTCTGAAGACTCCGGGCGGTACTGAGAACAGGCAAGTGTGTGCTACCGGATTTCGGGTAATTGTAGGACACGAGCCCTGGGGGCCCTCTTTGTGTTTAGCTTTGGCTTTACGTGAGAGTATGAATATTGATGTAATGTCACGTGTCTTTGTAGTTTGAATTGAGTGTTTTGAGCGTTGTGCTTTATGAACCAATAAGAGGGACCGGAACTCCGCACCCGTGAAAGAACCAGGCTGCACTCGGGTTGTTTGTCGGACCACGTGGGATCTGGCGTATCGGCGACGGTACGCAATTTTCTACATGCTCAGCTACAAGGCCAAGCACCGCAACTTACGTCTACAGATTTCTGACTGCAGAAGCGACGCTGCAACTGAAAATCATGAGCAGAATCGCACCATGTGACTCAGGCTCCGTACTCTAAGAAATCCGGATTTCTGAGGTTTGTTCACTTTGACCCCCTCTCCTCGTCTGACCCCAGAGGGGTAAAGAAGGAAGCTGAATGGAAAATCGTAAGTGCCGATATCGAAGAGAAAGATAAAGGCCTAAGAACAGCAGAAAAAAGAAAGCCATTAGGCTTTTTGGTTTCAACATACAAGATACATTGGGCATGTTCGCCCTGCCCCAATGCACTGAAGTTGTTTGAGTGCTTGTCAACACCTGTATTTCTCTTCACACTGAAGAACGCCGGTAAGTGCCTGCAAAATAAAGCTAAGTAGACTAAGTACTGACATCGCAAGAAGTAATTTTCTGCCTTTGTGTTTATTAAAGTTTTGCAAGTTATCTGGGCCCACTGGTCCCACCAATGTCTGCCTCTATGCACGGCCGTTCTGAGGCAAGTGAAAGGCATGGTGAGATGGCAGACCTTTTCCTCTGGATTTATCGTATGAACCAGGGTAGCTCACCCTCCAAGCAAGGCGATCTGGATGTTCTTCCGGAAGACACCACTCAGCGACCATCCAGGAAGGCCTCCTGGAAGGCTCGAGTCCGCCCAGATGTGCAGTGCCGTCAGCGCTTCCAGGGACTCCAAGTGCTCCCTGGGATGTCACAATGACATGCCGATCGATCCAATCAATAGACATATCAATGATAGAAACAACGGTGAAGAGAGCTTAAAGTGGAGAACTTTAGACACTGCGAAAGCCTAGGACATGGAAACAAAAAGGCTGCCCAAAACATGTGAGGATTCTTGCATGTTACAATGCTGAATCTGATATATATATATGCTCACGTTCTTTTTCTTTTTTATCGCATAACATTTTACATATTTAAGCGTGCATTCATAATGAGGCCCTGCAAGTAAGAACATTTGTTTGAGAGAGTCACTGACAACCACTGTTCATCATCAAAGGATTGTAGTAGGGTGCTTCAGAGTATTCTTGGTACCCTTTCGAGAACCAGACACCCACACCTTTATGCACCCCCATCCTTGGCAGAACTTCTAAGACAGCAGGTTTTAATCCCGCTAGCGTTATGCCGTGGCATCTTGAACACGCGAAAAATAATCATAGGCACCATATTATTTTATGCACAATGTGCACCCCCCCCCCCCCCCCCATATTTCGGCAAACTCACATAGTCACTCACACTCTCAATGCGATTGTGAGTGATTTTGAGTGACTCCATGATATGCTCTTGAGTTTGTGAGATATTATCGAGTGACTTCGTGATATGAGCCTAGGTTCGTGAGATGAAATCGAGTGACTCCGTGGTATGACTGAGTTTCTGGTATTGAGTGACCGTGACATCAGCTCGTGATATGACATTGAGTGATTTTGTGCAGAGACTGTGAGTTCATCTGCTTGCATATGAATCTGTTGGAACTTGAAAGCAAGATGCATGGGATTGGTTTCTTGCTGAAATAATGAGTATACTGCACATCTGTGCACTGGAGCTTTGCATGGCACGAGTGCAAAGGCGCTTCCTCCAAGGAAAGCTCTCGCTGAGGGAGGGGGCCGTCATCAGTCAGGATCAGGGGACGCTTACAGGGGGATGATGTGGCACTGAAGTAGAATTGATGGCAGCGCATGGGAAAGACATGCTTAGAAGGGCTGTCGTTTTTTCCCACACTGCACGCACGCCTTTGACTGTCGTGAGAGAAAGGTTTAGGCATTCCCTTTTATGTGTAACATCGCCCTGCATGCGCCTTTTTAACTGTTGGGGGTAGGAGCTGCGTGCTTCCTCTTTTTGGCAGTGCACAGATGTTTTATGCTGCCGCGTCTTTGCTTTTCAAGAGTGTCAATGCTTGAAATTATTGTTTTTTGTGCCCGCTGGATATGCTTTCATCAAATTTTGATCAATGTAGTTATATCTCGAAGATCACATTGTCTGCGGCTCTACCAATCATTTCAAACACCAGCATCACTCATAGTTGCAAAGGACGTAGTCACCACTCATTGGCAGTGGTCATAATTATATTACGAGATCGCCTCATTTGTATAGCAGAACCATCTTGACTGGCATACTGCAGAACAAAACTTCCCAATCTTTGCACACTTTTTGGTTGTTTTACGTATGAAATGCGAAAGCTTAGAATATTTTTTTTTTTCGGGCGTTCAGGCGAAATTGGTGCGCACAGATCTATTTTGAGAGGCTTCCCTTTATTAACAGATGTGGAAACCCTGAACAATGACGGCGAATAATGTTCTAAAGATTGCAGTGCTTTTCATCCGAGCGCTTTTATCATGTAATTCTCACAGCCCTGCACGAGTGTGTTCATCGCTTTCAGATGAAAGGGAAGAAATACAAGGACGGGCCACTCAAAGTGGCACTGGGTGGCCCGTCCTTGTTCCGGGCCACTCAAAGTGGTCGGGAACCGCGCCTTCATTACCCTCACGAACTAAAGCTTGTATACATTATTTTAGTGTTTGCACAATCACAGCCCAGTGTGCTACCCTCACAGCCCAGCGAGCCCATATTTGTGGCTTCGTAAGGCAAGTAAAGCACATGCTGTACATACAAACACTGAAAGTGGCATCGGCGAAATGCACGCCTCTGCAATGGGCTATACTCCATGTCACATACAACTACAGTGCTGAAAAAGGCTCGAGCGCAAGCCTGTGGTTCTCAACTTGGCTTTCGTGCTGGCAAAAGCTTCAGCGAGAGTGCGGTTCTTCAGAAATCTTTGTGTGCATGAGAGGCCATGCATAAGAAGCATGTTTAAAACCACAAGCTGGTGCTCACGCCCTTGCCAGCATTGGAGACAACTTGTGAGATAGAGTATTCGCAACTCCAACGCCCTATAGATGGTGGGGAGGTGGTTCCAAGATGGCTGAAGAGATGGGGATAGATTTTCAGTGCACCCGCTCCCTGACACTGGTCGGTGCGCACAAATTAATTTATTTGGCTATAAATGCAGAACGGTCAGGGCAGGAGCGAATCACGCTCCTGCCCTGACCCTGATGTCCTGATGTCTGTCATGACCTGATGTCTGTCCTGATGGAGATGTCGGCATATGTTAGGAAAGCCAGCATGTTGTTCTTTAAAAGTTGGGGAAACCTCGCAGAACTTGTGCCGCTTTGTGGAAGGCGAGCGTATTTTGGGCAACGGTCACATTGCTGTGTATGGCAATGTATTTTTGTGGGTGTTGAAAATATTGTGGTGCTTACACTGTGCCTGGCCACCAGTGCTCTAAAACACGAGCTGTGCATGGTGAACGTCAAGCTCCAGTAGAACAGTGTTTACAGTATGGACGTCTCTGCGTCAGCAGCTCGCAACTCACTGTACATCATCGCGGTTTTAGTGCACTGCGACACGTGATTAACCCACGCCATGGTTCCTAATAGGCAGTTTTAGCCTAGCATAGTCGCAGGATACCCTACAGTGAAACATTGCAACCAGAAGTTTGTGCTGTACCTTTGAAGCATGATTTTCGGCATGCACCACGAGCTTTGATGTGCCTAAGGTAGCCTGCAGTAACGCCATTGGCATGTTTGGGGTTTTTATTTATTGCTCCGTTAAAAGGCATATTCAAATATACAGTATACTAGTCCTGTGTACTATGTTATAACCATCGTCGAGACCCGCCTCGGCAAAACTGCCAATTGTAAGCACACATCACGATCGGCACAGACGTGCATAAAATTCTGCAGGCATTTTTTTATTTGGTTTTTTAATTAACTGAAAGCAGGTATGCTCAGTCAGTCTTTTGGAAGTGCTTGGACAAAACTGTCATGTTCCTCATCACGGCCTTTAAAGGGGCCCTGCAAGGACTTTTTACTGTTTTTTAATTTGCACCGAACCTGAGCGCACTGAACGTAATAACTTAGTGAAACTTTTCTTTTCGCAAAGTTTGCTTTATTTTAAAAGTTATAGGCAATTTAGAATTACAAAAACAAGCAAAAAATAACCTCCTTCATGACGTCGTAGGTCCTGGCTTGAGTGGCCATAAAGTAGAGGAGGAATAGTGAGCTCATCGAGCGCTCACGGCCGCCGCACTCCGTGTCGATGGCGCCAGAGGGCGCCACTAAAGCATGTTCTGGATAGGCTGTATGCAGCGGGCAGCCAAAGCGGCTTTCGTTGCGTTTGCTGCGCGATTAAACACTAATTCGCCATGACACTTCATTGGCCACAAAACGACAGCAAACACGGGGTAAAGATCAGTTCAGAATGGGAGCCACTTCGCGCTGCCATACCGCGAAACAGCCAAACCACGAAACAAAGCCTTTTGCCGAAGGCCTTCGGAACGCTCGGAGCCGGTCGGATCCTCTTGTCCATACGACCGCAGTGCCACCGCGTACATCCGGGATTTTTCCGTGTCGGCGCCTTATCCCACTACTCCTTTCTAGAATGCACCGCCTGTGCCACCGCTTGGCGGCAGGTATGCCGACGGGTCATTTCTCGTTTCCGTACTTTATAAACTGCAATACTTTCTTTTTTTCATCTATAATAGTGAACAAAAACTACTTTTATAAATAATTGAAACGGTTCGCGCCACTTATATTTTGTATTTCGACCAAAACAAAGTTTTTAGTGGCTCTGACCAGTAGTAAGCCCAGGACCAAAGACGGCACATTTTGCGCGCTTTCGGTACCGCGGGTCGCCCTCGCCGGTGGAGGAGGTTTCCATGTCGTCCGGTTAAAATATAGGGCACTGATATTTAGCTACTCTTTCTGTGCCCGCTGGCTTGCCCGAACCCCAAGAGACGTGGAAAGCGCATAAAAGGTAGACGCTTAAATATGATTGCAGGGCCCCTTTAAGCACATAAAATGTGAACCCATTCCCGATGTTCATCGCTTGATACACCGTTGCACGAGCAGTTCTCTTATACTTTCTGGAAAAAATGCACTTTTTGTAGATGGTATGCGAGAGTTTTGCACTACTAGCGAGATCTTGTGCCATCACGTTGAGCACAGATGGAACAAAAGGACCCAAAATCCACAGCGTATGCGATCTACAAAAACATTCCCAATGAAATGAAAATGCGTTGTACAAGGGACCGGAAATGCGCTGTTACAAAGCGGACAACATTTGGTATCATAAAGGTGCACTGTAGTGCGTTTCGAAAAGTTTGTTTTTGGGTGTTATATTGATTAATAGGTGTCAGTCAACAACATCTAGTTCCAGATTACAAATACAGCCTACTGGTCATACGGCAATAAAAATCATGCAAACCCTTCTCCTCTGTGTTTTATTTCTTTTTTCTGGACCAATGGAGATTACGATCATTATCATTATACCTAGCTTTGGGCACGTCGCACATTATATTTTGACAAAGACCCAAAATATTTATGGTGCAAGAGGCATAATACTGAAATTTCGCTTCAAAACCGGCAAATTTTACTTTTCCTCAGCTTTCGGTGGACCCAGAGAGATGTGTCAACCCGACTCTGTCGGATAAATCGATGGATATTGATTGTATGCTTTATAAAAGGCGGTAGCTTACGCCACTTAGACGCGGTGGGCCATCGCGGTTCATCTCCATCACACTTGACTCGTCGGCGTCGTGCATCGTAACCTCAACGAGCACACCCGTTCGCTTGTGTTGGCCGACGCTGGCTGCGAACGGGAACCTTTACTCCAGTGTGATGTGCGTTGCAACGTAGCGCAGCGTCCCAGCGCGCATCGGCGTAGCTCATGACGGGAAAACAAACCACGAAACTCACGCACCAACGACGGTGGCTTTCCCAGAAGCTCTCACGTGACCGCCCCATGGCCTCATTCAGGAATCTGAATGTCAGGGCCAGTCGGAACTTTCAAAGTGTGAGATGCTCATTTTGGTGATCTGAACCTGCAGTTCTTAATGTGCGTCATGTGCTGTTATTGTGTTCCTGTGTTGGTATGCATATTTAACACTTGTGCGATTGACTGGGCGAGTTTGCGCGTGGGCGTGGACTGCTCCGAGCATATGCAACCCCCGATACGCTTTGTAGGCCTAACGTGCAGGACTCGCATGCATGTTGTGCCGGCAAAAGCTTGAAGTTCAAAGGCACACTGAAGGTAGAGTAAAATAGAATTAAGGACGACCTAATGTGTGAGGCATATATGATCATGTTGTGCTAATGATTGTATGCACCGGCAGCCGTTCCCGATCAAAACAAGTGCCAACGAATCTATGGGAATGGCGAACCCAGTGAAACATCTGCTATTTAGCCGGCGAGAAATTTTCAACTGGTTTGTTTCAGTTTGTAAACGATAGAGGTAGGCATCGTACGCTGTCTTCGGTACTAGTTTCTTGAGTCAGAGTGAAAGGCTAGATATGATAACACCACTCTGGCCATCTGTCAAAACGAAGATGTGGAAGATTCGAGTGCGTCGCTTCCATTAAAAATTCCCGGCAGATTCACCACAGGAATACGGGGTGTGTCTACAGTCAAGAAGTACCAAGGGCCCTTGAAAATCTTTTTTTGTAGATCAAGGTTATTTAAGGCTTTTGAGGGGCTAGAGAAGCACTGACAATGCAACCCAGAAAACGCAGAAGTTGTAGGCAATGGGATGCCCAAGTGTATACCTGGCTAAAGGAGGTTCTTCGGCAATGTCTTTGTGATCTGCACATCTCACGCACACAGAACAGAACAGTGTCTGAATGATTTGAACTTAATAAGAACCTGCTCGAGTGAACTCCAACGTAAGGCTGCGACTTTAAAGCGTCTCTCTCGACATCAGTCCCAGACATTGCTTGCACTGACATCAGCTGCTGCTGTGGCAGTCTCCTAGTTGCCGAGTGCGCACCTGCTGCGGCACACATTTCGTACCACCGGATTGTTTCTCCTCGGCACGAGCTAGAGGGAATGACTACCAGTGTGGTGCGATTACACTGTGTGCAAGCCATGCATACATAGCAATTCTAAGCACCTGTCCAAGGCAAAAACAGGGAGCGTGTTGCTCCTTGAAAAGGAGCACACGTTAAGCAACGGGCGTTGTGTAATCCTATAACCTACTGGAGAGATGGAGGAACATTTGGTGGTTGTCACCTAGTGACAGGACGCAATAAACCATATCACAGTAGGAAGAAAGTAAGCATATTGTCGCGTCTTCGGAGTTATATGTTCATATAGTCGGATCACTTCGTCTTTACCACTCGGTGAATCGGTCTGCGGGTCCGGAAGGAACGTCCGATTCACTCGGTGAATCGGACGTTCCTTCCGGACCCGCAGGGTTAGGCCCTGCAATCATATTTAAGCGTCTACCTTTTTTGCTGTTTCCACGTCTCTTGGGGCTCGGGCAAGCCAGCGGGCACGGAGAGAGTAACTAAACCTCCTCCACCGACGGGGGGCGACCCGCGGTACCAAAAGCGTGCGAAATGCGACGTCTTTGGTCCTGGGCTTACTACTGGTCACAGCCGCTAAAAGCTTCTTTTTAGTCGAAATGCAAAGTATAAGTGGCGCGAACTGTTTCAATTATTTATAAAAGTAGTTTTTGTTCAGTACTTTATATCAGAAAAGAAAAAAATACAGTTTAGAAAGTACGGAAACAAGAAATGACCCGTCGACATACCCGCCATTAAGCGGTGGAAAAGGCGGCGCATACTAGAAAGGAGTAGTGGGATCAGGCGCCGACACGGAAAAAGGTCCCGGATGTACGCAGCGGCGCTGCGGTCGTTTACAGACTGGAGGATCCGATTGGCTCCGAGCGTTCCGAAGGCCTTCAGCGAGCAGCTTTGTCTTGCGTTTTGGCCGTTTCACGATACGGCAGCACGAAGTGGCTCCCATTCTGAACTTATCTTTACCCCGTGTTTGCTGTCGTTTGTGGCCAATGAAGTGTCATGCCGAATTAGTGTTTAATCGTGCAGCAAATGCAATGAGAGCCGCTCTGGCTGCCCGCTGTATACAGCCTATCCAGAACACGCTTTAGTGGCGCCCTCTCGCGCCGTCGACACGGAGTGCGGCAGCCGTGGGTGCTCCCTGAGCTGACTATCCCTCCTCTTGTTCACGGCCATTCAAGCAACCAAGGACGTCATGAGCGAAGTTATTTTTTGCTTGTTTTTTGTAATTTTAATTTGCCTATAACTTTTAAAATAAAGCGAAATTCAAGAAAAAAAAGTTTCATTAAATTACTACGGTCAGTACGCTCAGGTTCGGAGCAAACTAAAAACCAGTAAAAAAGTGCTTGCAGGGCCCCTTTAAGGGATTTTACTGTATATGTATCCCGAGTAGAGCAACTGGTGACCTGCGACCTTCCACGGACTCACTTGACGTATTTCTGCTCGTTCCACGATGACACGACAGCCTGCGGCACTGGCTGGTCGACGAACATGAGCCGCATGATGTAGTGGCGGGAAATGATCGGCAACTCCCTGAGTAAAAAGAGAATTAAGGTTGGCGAATCAAAACCGAAATGAAGACCAAAAGAACTGTCAGCCTTTCCACTCTGGTGAAGAAGGAAGACCAGCAAAGCTGTACTATGGTGGGAAGGAAGTATTTATAAATGTAAGGATTAAGCGCGAAACACATGTGCGATGAAACTGTCCGATCCGACGTGCGGACTGTCGGAATGACCTTGGGGGGCGAGGGTTTTCGTAGCACCGGAGAGCGTTGAAAGCCCTCTCCTCCGACCGTCGCATTGCCTGGTTGGACGTCGGATCGGACGGTTTTTGTCGTACATGTGTTTTGCGCTTTAAGGTGTGATTGGGTAATTGGGTTATTTGAACAATTAAAGAATCAGACATATAAAGAACTGTCCGGGGTTGTTATTTATTTTATAACCAGTGACCATGGCCTTGTGATCGCTGTGGTACACTGCCATAGGGTGCACGCTGACGGCAGGCACGTTTTTTGTGAAGACGAGGTCTATATGCATCTAATGCGTGGTCGTGGGCACCGTAGGTATGTTCACACATGCAAGCCCGAAACGCTCAAACATAAATGAAGTGAACCACTTTCCCTCCTGGCGTGTAATGTCAACATTAAAGTCACCCGTCACTACGGCAGATGTGTCATCGCCGAGCATGACGCAACAGACAACATTCATCATTAATGCTTCAATGTCTCTCTTGGGCGCCGCAGGGGAAACGTACATGAAGGCGACCACTGGACCATCGCGCACCTTGACGGAAAAGCTGAAAAGGTTGCCACTATCCATGAGCAACTTCGGCAAACAGAGTGGCTGTCTGGTTGCCGCCGTCGCTCACAGATGGCGGTAGCTGTCCAGAGTTTTGTGCCGACATTTATTTGGAGACGGACACGAAACTGGGGAAACTAGCCCTTAACAGCTCCACCGTAAAAACGCCATAAACGTAAGATGCCCCCCCCCCCCCCCCGCCCCCAGAAAAAAAGAGGCCCTATTTGGAACTTTTTAAATGCGTTCTAAACGCATTTAAAAGGTTTAGAACTTTTAGAAATTTAGAACGTCTTTGCAAACGTCCGCCCGAAGCCACAGTGTGTCGATCAATACCGTCTGTCGCACCCATTACACACCGCGCGGTCCACACCGAACGCATCGTCCGTGAATTGGCGCTTGAACTGCCGGTCGGCCGCTGTGCAACGGGGCTTCCTGTCGCTGCTGGGCCCGACGATCTCGTTTTACAGCCGCGTCCCCTGCTCCCCCATCTTCCCCTTGATGTGCCCGCCGTTGCCGCTCCTGTACCGCAAGCAACAACTTTCCGTCCTGCTGCCGAGCACACACCGGCGACCGCACGCTTTTCTACATCAGACACGAAAGCGTTTTAGAGCTGACACTATAAAAGCCATGCAATTAGATGTGGACGGCGTACCGGAAGACGGCGAGGCATGTTGCTGGGTGCGTGTAGAGTTGGTCCAGCGTCGCCGGCGACAGGGTCTTCAGGTAAGCGTGCAGATCGTTACATTTCAGCGAACTGCTCGGCGCCGACAGACTCATGTCGTGCCGTCTTCGAAGAAACTTCTCGTTTTTGAGCGAGTCATAAGCTCGGCGTGGGCATCACCTGTGGCCACCGCGTCGGTTACCGTCCAAACCGCACGCGCTCACATTCACCTCTCGGAAGACTCAGCGGCTGAGTGGCTGAGTCGCTGAACAAGCCAAGCAAGGCAGGCTAGCCAAGCCGGCCAAGCGGCCAGCAAGCGGCTAATGAAAAGCAAAAAAGTAAAAAATACACTCAAATAATATTTGTTGGAAAGTAGGCGAGAAAATAGTAGACCACTTCAGCGCGGCCTACTAACAAGAAGCTAAGAATTTTAAAATAATTGATACGAAAAGTTACTTATGATATTAGTACCAGCGCATTAACGAGGTAGCAGCGCATGCAGCGCATGCCATAGGCGCATGCACGAAACGTGTGCGCGCGTCAGCCGCATCGCCAGCAACACCGAACAAAGCTGGGATTTTAAATCGCTTGTTTACTTTATTTTGCTTGAATCTGTTGCCTGGGTCCGTTGTCAGTAATGTGCCAGCCGTCCGATTGAATCTGTCCGCGGGCTCCAGAAAGGAATGGAGGCCGCCTCCAACGTCCTATGGACATTCAGCACGCTAGCGGACGGCTGCGTGACCGCGGTGAGCCTGCTCCTACGGCTCAACGAACTGGTTGGCGCCGTTCTGCTGAGCGCCGTCCTCCGACTGTGTAGCGTCGTGGCCCAGATTTCGACGTCGCTCTACCACGGCCTCTACTACGCGTGCAGAGACTTCGTGTACTTCCTCGAGGACATCGTGGTGCTCGTCCGCTCCGTGGTCAGCGCCGTAGACTGCGCCGTTCACGGCATCACCGTGTGCGTGCTGCTGGCGTACACCTCGATAATACGGGCTATCGTCTTCATTTACGACGTCATCACGAGCACGTGGGACCTCATCGTGGCGGGCCTGTTCTACGTCTCGTCTTCGGTCTCGTCTCTCGTGTCGCTTCTCCTCGGGTCAACCCTCCTGCTCCTCCAGCTTCTACCTTTCGCCGTCTGCCAGACGGCCTTGTACGCGTACAGTTCGGCCGTAAGCGTCCTGACGGGTGTCGTCGGTCTGTTCGTCGCTGTATGCACGGTGACTTGGGGCACGGCGTCAAGGACGGTCTGTTCTGTGCGGACGTTATTTTGGAAGCAGCCGCGGGACGTCTACGCCGGGTTCGCGATTGCCTGTGTCCTCGCGGCCGCTGTCCGGCTGACGTTCCGTTTCCAGCTACACCGACGCCTCTTCCAGCGGCTGGTGGCGCTCCGACCACCTCGGCGACGACGGCCGTCGAGGCGAGCCGGCCCGGACCGCTCGCCTCCGTTCACGATGACACTGCGATCCACCCAGCGCCGGGACCGGCTCCAGTGTCTCGAGCGGGAGCTGGAGCAGGAGCGCGAGAAGCAGCTGTGCGTCGTGTGTCAGGACGAAGAACGATGCGTCATCCTGCTGCCGTGCGGCCACTTCGCTCTGTGCGTGGCCTGCATGGAGACGCTGCTCGAGATGCAGCCCACCTGCCCCGTGTGCAGGCACTTCATCAACAGGGTCGTCAGGGTGTACGCCTAGACTAGACCGAAAATGCTGGGGACAGTGAAGGGGGTAAACACTACATAATCGCTGGACCTGCCACACGTCTTATCGTTCACCCCTACCGACTGACAGAGACCAGGGGGGGGTCACGAAAGGCGGACGGTCGATTGGTCCGGCAAGCATGTATACTGCCAGCTTAGGGGTGCGTGGCGCATACCGTAGGCGTGACGTGATTGGGGGATGCTCCATCCAGCCCCGAGCCAGTTACGCTTCGTTATGACGTACTATGGACCGCAGTGGATGCTACAATGCCGTCGGAGCCAATTTGATGTCGTGCGAGCGTCACGTGACCTTCGAGACGGGTGCAGCAACGCACGTGGTCATGTGATACGTTTGCAGCGCTGGATCAAAAAAAATTGCTCGTAGCATCCACTGTCGTTTGTCTCAAGGTGAAACGGGGCATCTATACCACATTGTTCTGCCGTGCGTAACGCTAAGCCAAGGTGCGTGCACTGATTTGCTGGTCAGAGCAATGTGTGGCTTGGCTTCCAGCTGCCTCGTGATTTGACGTTGCGGCTGTAGTCCCTCATTGGCCGAGACAAAGTGTGACACTTTGTGTGTGTTGCGAAAGGGGACTAAGAAAGAGACAGTTCACAAAATCGACAGACAAGATGCACCACATTACGCTCAACATTGTTCAACTTCCATCGACGATAACCATACCGTACCTGTACAGGCTCATTATTTTCTTTCTGTCTTTTTCATGTACTTCCTTTTCTTAATGCATCTTGTAATCATCTTTTTATACTCTTGTCTTGGTTTTTTATTTCTTTACTGCCATGTTATTTTGTGTCGTTCTACTCTGCAGTATTATCACCTCTAAAGTCCAAATTTGTATATATCATTTTGTGTAAAAAAAGGGAAAAAAAGAGGTTATTTTAGGGCATTATTATGGGGTTAAAATGCCATGAAGTATCCGCTGAATTCTTGCATAGGTTCTCTATATTCTTTGTTTTGAAATTTACCACAGTACCTGGTGTGTTCTGTCAATGATAAAAAAAAACTGAAAAAGAATTCTGTGTCTAATATTCTTAGAGCGACATCGATGCATTGCTCCAAAGACTAACTGAAATGGAAGATACATGGTGGGCGGGCAAAGTGTATTTGCCTGCCCATCCTGTATCTTCAAAACATATTATGCAGTTGTAAAAGAAAAAAATTGTACAATGCCTTTCTATTTGTGAGCTCAATGTGAACACCTTGCTCGTGTGAACAGTTCAATAGTGTGGGCAGTTTGAAGCATCTGTAGCCTGTAGTTTCTTACGATTATGATGTTAATACAGTCTCTGGCCGTCAACTATTGGTGATGACCTGTTTCGATGGCGCCACCTCGCGGGCACTCTCCCGTGACGTAGCGGGTGTGATTTGAGCAGACGACGCTCCAAGTAATTGCACGAAACGGTTACGTTAGTTTGTTTTTGTATGGAATTGATAACTTAATTTATTGTAAAAAGAGTGTATGACATCTTTACGAGTTTTTTCCTACTGAATTGCAACATTTTGGAGCCACTTTTAGAAGTGGCTCGAAAATGCTGCAGGGTCGACAAAAACAAATGCACAAACAGTTGTGATCAATAGCGGGTGTATACCGTAAAATCCCAAGCAAGTGCCCACTCAAGATTTGGAGATAATCGTATAAAGCTGGAGGATGGGTGATTATTGTCCGGGTGTTACAAAATTAAGGGGTAAGCGCTTATTGTGGAATGGGCAGATGCTCAGTATTTTGTGGTAATTCATTTCTGGGATGCCGAGGTGTCATTGACACCCTAGATCTTGCAGGTGTCGACCGCGGAGGTGGTTTCGCACGTCTTGCATCGAACGGGCGAATGAGCGGGCGTTTAGTTACAACTACTCTGAGTCAGCCAGTTGTCTCGAGCAGACGTGTTTATTAATGTGAAAGCATTAACTGTCCCATGAGCCGAAGTCATCAGCTTTGATGCCGCGCCAGATGGCATGTAAACTCCTTTCTCCAAGTGAAGCCGCAATCTAATGGCTCCCAGTTTTGAACCCGCGCAAAAAGCGTAGCTAAGTGGCACCTAGTTTCACTTTACCCAATAAAGCGAAGTGAAGATGAAATCTGATAGATTTCAGCTTCTGTCCCATTGGCTGCACACGTCATAGTTTCAAGGAGCGAGGCTCCCATTGGCCGCAGCACATCACTTTCGAGCGAGGCAGCAACTCCACGGCCGAGGTCAGCGCGGCCTTGCCGCGCTGACCTCGGCTGTGGAGTTGCTGCCTCGCTCGGCGAACAGATGCTTCATTTTAGCGGCACGCTGGTGGCGCTAGAGGCACTGAAGGCGGCGTGGACACGCAGCGCCATGAGGTGGCGGCCGTTGAAAGTGATGTGCTGCGGCCAATGGGAGCCTCGCTCCTTGAAACTATGACGTGTGCAGCCACTGGGACAGAAGCTGAAATCTATCAGATTTCATCTTCACTTCGCTTTATTGGGTAAAGTGAAACTAGGTGCCGCTTAGCTACGCTTTTTGCGCGGGTTCAAAACTGGGAGCCATTAGATTGCGGCTTCACTTGGAGAAAGGAGTTTACATGCCATCTGGCGCGGCATCAAAGCTGATGACTTCGGCTCATGGGACAGTTAATGCTTTCACATCAGCCGCCAGTACGCCACAGACGAAATAAGGGAGCGGAAGAACGACATGCATGCTTTTGCATTCACACCTTATAAGTACGCTGGTGTACCTAAAGCCTTTTGGTATGCAAATTGCGAAAAACAATTGCCTTGAAACTAATAAGAGACTACCACTCACAAAACACAGTGGAATCCAGGCATGTAGCCAGGGGGGGGGGGGGGCCCATGGGGCCTGGGACCCCCCGAAATCTTTCATTCTGCTGGGACCTCCTCTCCCCCCTCCCCCTCATACAGCATTTTGTCATGGGCAAACTCCCCCCCTCCCTCCCCCCCCCCCCCCCCCCCAAACAAAATCCTGGCTATGTGCCTGGTGGAATCAATGGGGTACACGAAGTCGCTTTCATTGAAATATTTACCACGTGATAGGTGTTCGAATTTGGCTTGCCCATTTACAGCTTGATGAACTATTTCGTCCTTAGTTTCTTCTCCTTTAGTTAAAATTAAAGTTGCACCCTGTTCCCCATGGCAGGTGTTGTACAGAGGTAAAGCAGTGAATATTCCATGTTTATTGTCCAGTGCTTTAATACTGGGGTAGAGAACAGTATATCACCATCCCGGAGCTTCAACACTTCAGCACCAAAAATGCTTACTTAGCCCGGCCATGTGTGCCACATCTTCAACCTATGATCAAACGACATGCCACAAACATCATGCAGTCAGAAGAAAAAAAAGTTGCATGGTATAGACCTTTCCAGCGGCAGTCTCGAACGAAGCGATTTACAGCGCGCGTCCCTGGTTTTGAGAGTATACGTCAGTGTTGCCCGACTGCGCTGAGCTGTGGAGTTTCTCGTCAGTGAGCTGTGGCAGCCTGCGTAGGCGCAATTCCGGACGCCGGTAGCGGCTGAATTGCCGCGTTTTCTTTTTTATTTTGTGTTCTGTGGCGAACATAATTTATAGAGGTCTTTAAGGAAGCAGTGCTCTATTTTTGGGAACAAAAACAAAGAAATGAAAGCTGTTTTGGTGAGTCCGTGCGCGACAGAACAAATGCAACTGGAATGTTTGTTTCATTTTATGTTCATCGTTTTACGACACCGTACACCCAGCCGTGTCAATCTATATAGGTCAAAATATTTGACCACACAGGATATCCGAACTGCATGGATATTCCCCGCCCACAACACGAAATTCAATGAGTCTCATCAATCGAACAACATATATTGTTTGTACCCCACGGTGCCGCGTTATCCGAACAGGATTTGAGAAAGGTCTCAAATAACACAGCATATCCAATATACAGTGTCGACGATAGTCACTTCACGACAATCGGACGGAACCCGGCGTGTTTTGGGGAACATGTAGAAAAGAGCAGCTTTTTTGCACAGCTTCGTCAAAGCAAATGAATGAACGTGTCTATTCTGTCCTCACACCCCGGACCCGACCCTATCAGCTATTTTTCGCGAAGACCCGGAACACAGCCGGGAAGGCTTTTTGGAGATTATCTCAAGGGAAATAATCCTCAGAGAACGTCGAACTGCCTGCGTCGCAGGCTGCTTGACGTTCGCTCTCTTGGTTCGTTCCCTGCGAAGGCCGAGCAGGCTACGAGCCCTGGTATTCTCTGGTTCTCACTGTGGAAGATAACATACAAAGTGAAAGCATCCTAAACAGGCGAATAAAGTAAAAACTTCCAAGAAAAGCCGCCGAACTCCGAATGCAAAATGCAGGTGGGGAGTCACGCTGACTGGGTTTCCACAGCTCAGGCGGGTGCCAGAAATTTCTGGCTGATAGGGGTCGCTCGATTCGCAAAATGGCGGCGGCCAGAGAGCTCGTTTTGCAAAGGTCTATAGGTGTGAAACATGGAAACTAGCAACACTAAATGGGTTACACTTAGAGTATCCGCACTCTGTTCCACGGTATTGTTGTGGGTGCCGCCATCTTGGTGCTTGTGCAGAGCAGACGCAACTGCCAATTGTCAAGATTCAGAAATGTGACTTCACAGCATGAGATTCGGTGTTGGAAAGCTCATGTAATATTTGTTTGCTCTGTCGTGAAGTGTTTAAACAATTGTTTCATTTCATTTCATTTATTGTTCCCTTAAAGCGCCCGTAGGGCTTTACATAAGGGGGGGCTTTGGCAGCAAACAAAAACAAACAAAGAAAGGAAAAAACAGGATTAAAGGTTGCTAAATATCGAGAAAAGTAGCAAGTGCAGCTCTGAATCCAGATGAGTCTTGAATTGTAACAATATGTTCTGGCAGAGAGTTCCATTCTGAAAGTGATAATTGCAGTGGAGAGAATTTAAAAAGGTTGGTCCTTGGTGTTACCAGATGAACTTTCTGAGAATGGTCTGTACGAGTAGAAATGTGATGAGCCGCTGGACAGTACAATTCTCTCTTTAAAGGGGCCAGATAATACAAAGCGTGCAATGAAACTAGTCTGGTCAGTTTCCTTCTTTCCGCGAGCAGTGGAAGGCCGAGTTCTTTTTTTAGCGTAGTAATGCTAGTGTGTGTATAGTTTTTAAGAATGAACCGAGTTGCCCTGCTTTGGATCGACTCTAATTTCTGAATTAGGTAAGCCTGGTGGGGGGCCCATGTTGTAGATGCATACTCGAGCTGCGGGCGAACAAGGGCAGTGTAAGCTACGAGTTTTGTCTCCCGGTTAGCCATATGTAGTGTTCGTCTCAAAAAACCGAGGCTTTGGTTTGCCTTTACAACGATCTGATTAATATGAGCTTCCCATGATAAGTTTGACGTGAAATGAACCCCGAGATATTTGTACGTGTGGACATGTTCAATGGGTGTATTAAAAAGAGAGTAGCTAAACACTGTGGCACTTCGCTTAGTGTTGAAGTTTAAGAATTTTGTTTTTAGGATGTTGATTTGCATTTGCCATTTTTTACACCATGTTTCTAGGGTAATCAGGTCATTTTGAAGTTGAATGCAATCACTAATGCAAGATATTTTCCTATACACCACACAATCATCAGCGTACAAACGGATGGTTGAAAGAATACTATCGGGTAAATCATTCACGTACAAAAGAAAGAGCAATGGACCCAGCACGGTCCCCTGCGGCACTCCCGATTTTACTTTCTGATGGGATGAAGATTTGTAATCTTCATCCCATCAGTTGTGGAGGATGTGAAAGCATTTCCTGTGATTTTAAATAACTGGCAACCATGATTTCAAGCCACAAGATGGGTAAGTGTTGTTACTCTAAAGTTTGTATTAGAGCCTTGGACACACTATTGCGAACAACACATGAAGCGAGTTGGCAAGCCAAGAACCTGCTGCCCCTGCTGCACAGTCTGATGTCGTCTGGTCTCTAATATCTGCTACCTCAAAAAAGATGACGATGATAGCTAGGATAGTGCCCCCTAGATTTGCATATGAGGCAAACAGGACAAACCAAAAGATAATTTTACTCGAAGTTAGAAATAGAGCCACTGAATGGCTAGCTAGGAGGCATGCAAGCCCCTGACAAACTGACAAGATCAAAATGTTTATGTACAACGGACCATAGAGTTATCATAATGTATGCTAGAGGTTCAACTGGTGCTAGTGTCCATGTGACTTCCAGGAGGCAAATAATTGAAGCAGACAGCAACCTGTCTACATTTCCGGTGCTCCTTTGCATTCCTATGGTAAAAATGCGCATGCGCATTTTGTCTCCATAGGAAATAACATAGACAACTTTTGTTATTCAGGTCGCACCGATTAGTAGTATGTACGTTTATTAACATTGCAGAAGTTTAATTGTTTTAGTTATGGCATCTTTTTTTTTTGCCACTGAATGATGTTAAACTTATATTTTATGTCCAAACCCCTATTCAATGGCCAGTTATGTACCATATTTTTCGGACTGCAGTCCACGCACTAAACATGTTTAAAAGTTGAAATTGTACCCGGTGAAAACTATATCTACAAATGCGGATTATAGAAGGTTTTGCATTTTTCTAGATTGTTCTGTGTGACAAGACGGGAATGATTTTATGTCTAACAGAGTATATTAATAGTGATTTGTGTTTGACACAAGCTTCTTTGTGAGCTAATACAGCAGACATTTGTCAAGCTATGCTGTATGATCATTTTTACGTTAGGACTAGGCACGAAGTGCGGACACTGCGCTGCATGCGGAATATCTAAGCAATTCGCCCCTGCGGATTATTTACCGGGTGCGGACTATATGAACCGGAAAATACAGCAAAAACAAGTGATGATTCTAAGAAAACGACAATCGAAAGGAATGTAGAGTATGTTCAAGGTTTGCCAGCATTCCAGTGGTGCTTATACAGAGTGTCTCAAATAGCAGCCAGGCTCTTTAAATCGACCACAAAAATCGGTTTCTTAACCTATCGCTCAACAATTTTGTTCAGCGTTGCCCACAGGTGGCACATTTTTTCTATAAAATTTTCAAAGAGCAAACTTGCCTGAGGAAAAGGCTGTAACTTCTATGAAAACGCAACGAAGCCATCGGTCTTGACACAATAGGACGCCCTATTTGAAGGCCAGTGGCTTAGCTGCATTTCCATAGGGGCACTGACAGGGCATTTATGCTCGTCAAGGTTTTTATTTGTACGTGACCTATGAGAGTCCATCTACCCAGAAAACAATTCGCAGCTCAAGATTCTTTTTCTTCCCACCCGAAAACCGCTGATTGAGAAGTGGCCGGCTTGAGTCGCACTCACTCTCTTCTCCATGGTGACGTGCCGTTTTCTGTGCTTTAGACCAGTGGTTTAGACACAATTGACCCAAATGTACTCAAAATCCTGGGTCATCAAAGGCACACATGATATTAAAAATAAAAAAAAAATATGATGCACATTTTTTGTAGCTTGAGTTATTATAATGTACGCTAGAGGTTCATGTGGCACTAGTGTGCTGACGTAAATTGAAGCAGACAGCAAACAGTCAAAAATTGACTTCCGATAATGCATCTCTATGGGGAAAAGTGAGTGCCTTTTCTTCCTGCGCTTGGTCATAAAAGCAAATATTCCAAATTATTTGTACGTTCTAGGTAGCTTGAAACATTTCTCAGTCAGGCCGACGAAATAATTGGTCAGTTACGGCGTTTTCATTTCAAGTTCATCGCATTAAAAATGAAAACGGCTTCATACGTGTATTTATGGCCACTGTCGGACACTGTTAAGGCAAACACGACATCGGCGCTTTTCAGCATAGGGTGGTCCAAGTCACAAGGCTCGATCTAAAATGGACCGTAAAAATCGACGCCTGCACGTAGCCGTTTAAACTTTTCGTCAAAGGTGTATTTCACAGGTCGGTTTTTTCTTGTAAAATTACAGAGCGTAGTTCTCTTTCTGTAAAAAATAATGCCAAGAAACTTGCCAGGGTCTACGGCGGGCAGCGACGTAGACAACAGGGGTCCAGTAACGAGGTGCGTTGGCGTTCGTATTGATAGATGGCGCTGCAGCTCCTTATCACGACAATTCGCGACCACCGTGGCTTATTAAAAGGAACATGATGTTTTTGAAATGTACCTTTGGTTAAAAAATAAATGCGGACAATAAAAGCAAAACTAAAAGTAAAAAAATGTGTCTGCATAACGGCGGTGCTTTTGCTGCCAACGGAGTTTGTCTGCATGTCGTCTGCTCTCTTTCACTCGTCGGCTGCACCTTCAGACACTGCTCCCGACGCCATCTACCAATACGAACGGCAAACACAGCTCGCTACTGGACTTGGTCGTCTGAGTCGCCGCCTGCCGTAGACCCTGGCAAGTTTCTTCGCCCTATTTTTTACTAAAAAAGAACTATGCTTTGTAATTTTACAAGGAAAAACCGACCTGTGAAATACACCTTTGACGAAATGTTTAGATGGCTACATGCAGGCGTCGATTTTTACGGTCCATTTTAGATTGAGCCTGGTGACTTAGACCACCATATATACATGCCAAACGAACGAAGAACATCTGGAATTTAAGGGAGACGGCAAGAAATATGCAGTAACACTGGATCAGTAACTACCCATGCATGTACGATCAAAATAAATTGAAGGCCACGTAATCTATTCCAGTTTTAAATGACTAAGTACCGCTTTATTCTTTCTGCTAGATCTGAGCGAAGATGTTCGTTCTACGTTTTAAAATATCACCCGCACGCTCGAAGTCTTTGAGAACAAGTGGCCGATAAAAGCTGCCTGGCAGAGAAAACAAATACAAAGAGACACCTTTCATAGCCCATGAACTTTATTCTCTATGTTTTTATCCACTCATGCACAATGACAGATCCGGCACCCACTGGTCTCCATGATCAGTGTGCAAATACATTGATTGGAAAACAAAAAGTTGCACAGCCACGTGACTTCCGCCAACTCTCAGTTTGGTTTCGAGCTGTTACGTTTTTCTACTTTTTTTTAAAATAATGCGACGCTAGCAAAATATTCATTGGGTAGTCTTCTGACATCATTATAAATCGCCTGGCAAAAATAAAAAATAAATTTTGGGTGTGTCAGTGCCCCTTTATGCCTTTTTCTTTTCTTTTTTCCTCGGGTAAGTTCGCTCTCTTCAAATTTCATTAAAAAAAAGAGAGAGAGAAATGCACCATTTGTGGGAAACGATGTACATATTCACGTGCTGTCACTATGTGAAAATGGCTCCATCTTCTACTTTACGAACAGTTCAAAAACATTTGAAACAAAAAGAATGAAGTATGTGGGTTATGAAAGGTGTGTCTTTTTATTATTTCCTATGTCGAGCGGCTTTTATCGTGCACCTGATCTCTGGGTTCTTTATTTGCAAATATTTCGAGCTTGCGGGTGATGTTTTCAACGCAGAACAAGCATCTTCGCACATATTCATGAACAGAAAGAATAATCAGTACTTATTCATTGCAAATTGAAATATATGCGTGGATTTAGTTTGATCGTCTGCATGCACAAGGAGTTACCCAGAGTCCACTGTAGTTACGGCGTAGTTCTGGCCGTCTCTCTTGCTTTTAACTAGGGGTGTCGCGAACTTTTGTCGAACCAGATTTTTTGGTCGAACTTTCGGGGTTCGACTGGGTCGAGCCGGTTTGACAAACCTTCGAACATTTCACCCAAGGAGGTTAGAAGTACTAGGAGGGGGCACGTTGCATTATTGGTGAAGCCTAGTCATAAAAAGTTTAAACGATTTTGTGCCCAGCATAACCGCAGATCTGTCTGGCGATTGGTGCGCGTGACATGTCACGTGCGAGATGGATGGTTGATTGTAGGAGGATTCCTTGCAAGCTTGCGCGCGCTCCGTCCGGTAGGCTTTATCAGATCGAAGGCTAGGCTGTGGTCTATTCTAGTACACCATAGCTAGACGAAGGCTAGCTACCAGGGTTGCCACTGGGTTTCGAGTCAAAGTAGCCAAATCACGTACAGAAAGTAGCCAAAAGTAGCCATTCTATTCGAGATTCCGCCGAAAAAGTCGCCACACCAAATATGTACAATAAAAACGTATTAAAAAAAAAAGTAGCGAACACTATATAGGAATCTTGAGTTTACTGCACAAGCGTGAGGGTGAAGCACTTCAAACTCATATCAAACACTGCAGCAAAGTGCTAGTAGATGCTGCTGGCCCCAGAATGATTTGCAGTCATTTTCTGGAGCATTTTATCTGGGATCATGTATGTAGATGATGTTTTCCACTGCAGTCGGTGGCCACACTTAATTCTTAGGATGGACTCCAGAAGTTAAAGCTTCATCTCATTGCGAAGTTCCGTTTTAGTCAGCGCTACATGGGAGAATACTCTATCTGCTTCGGCATTTGAGACTGGAAGCTCCAGAATCTTTACGGCGCCTGCGGTTACTCCTGGAAAAGGGCATATAGCGGCAGCATCCCTGAAAACCAGTGCTTGGTACCAAAAGCTGAACACAGGACTCGTCTTGTTTGTGGCAAAAGCAGACCACAGTGTTGGATCACCGCTTCCAGCTCATTCCTAAAGGTGCTGAAAAGGTGAGAAGGCAAACTGAAAATTTCCCAGCAAGCATTGGGCCCCATTTCAACCTCCGGGCTGATTGCTTGAAACCTGCAGGGTGCAGAAGTTGTGTTAAGAATGCGCGTTTGCAGTTGACTAGGAATTTTATTTAAAACCAAAGCATCGTTCCCGAATGCGAAGTTGCTCTTGGGCAGGCAGTCCGCTAGTAGCAAGCAATTCTGAAAATGCTTCCCCAAGGTCAGTTTGTGCAGAATCCAGGTAAATGCTCCCCGTTTCCAGCGTTTAAAATTTGCAGGACGAGCTTGCTTTGGCCTGGAAACGTGTCTGTGCGATACTGCTGAGAGCCGCAACGAGCCGCCAAAAGTAGCCAAAAAATCGCCAGATCGCCAAGCGTAATTTTTGGTAGCCAAGCGCCCCCAAAAGTAGCCAATTTGGCGAAAAGTAGCCACCAGTGGCAACCCTGCTAGCTACGGTCACGTGATGTGGTGAGAGTAAGGAGGAAAATGCGAAAGAGGCGAGGCGTCAAGGGAGCATGGCTTGTAGAGGCTACGCGGCTGACGTCATGCCCTCTCCTAGGCTTCTATTCTCCATGCTCTCCTACCCTTCTATTCTCCATGATTTTACCAGATTCGACCGGTTCGACTTTGTGGACAGTGTAGCCAGAGCTTGATACAAGCATGTCTAGGTTTGGAAATTTTTTTTATGCAAATGGTTATTTTATATTGTGAAAAGCTGCAATTAAAAGAAACTAATTCTAATCAATGAAGAAGTTAATAACTTCATTTTTAGTACTGTATTAACAGAAATAGCCATTCAGCGCTGCACTTAATTGATTTCTAAGCCATAATCGTCCAATCCGAAGCCAACTGGTCAGCCTGTCGCGCATGCGCACACAAGTCGAACCTCAATAGATGGTTCGTCGAACTTTTCACTAAAAGGTCGAAAAAGTCGAACCTGGTCGAACTCGAACCGCGGCCGGTTCGCGACACCCCTGCTTTTAACATTATTGGTTTAACGTTGTTTAACATTATAATAGCTCTATGCAGCGGACGCACCAGACCCCGTGGAAAAAGTTTTTTTCATAAATCCTAGAAGAAGTTGTTGGAAGAAATAACGCAGAGAAAGTTATAAGCATATTTATTCGATACTTTGGGGCATTGTTATGAAAAAGTGTAAAATGTAGGCCAGGCGGCGCAAGCTACCGCCCGATACAAACATTAGTTCTGTCCATCTGTGGATGATCGCACTTGCAAATCGGCGTTCGGCCAGGTTCGGCGTCGTCCGCATGTGATATCGAGTTGAAAGTGAGTTCTGAACTCGTATTCATCGTGCTCGTCGGCAAAACTGTTCTTCTACAGAAGGTGCGTGAACTGTATTTTTAAATAACGGAAGATTTGAACTACGCGTTTTCAAAATCGGCGAGGGGGCACTTTGTTGATCGTCGGGAGCATCATTTCACCGGCATCTTGTTAATCTAGGCCTAACCTTCGGGATGCGTGAACGATGCGGCCTTTTTTGTCTGTCGACACCACCCTTGGATAAGCGTAAATCGATAGATCAGTGCTCTAATGTCTTCACTAACTAATCGAGCTTCGCTAGCAACCGATTATATTCTCACTGCGCCTGAGAGCGGTTTGTAATTGTCGGGTTACTACAGCAATGTTTTCACTTAAAACGTCGATGTCGGAATATGCGTCGTGCTGCGTACCCCACGTTTCATAATGTGTTCGGCAAGGAACGCGGATGGCAGCCCCGTTGGTTAAGGAATGGGAGTAAGCGTAGATGCTTTACAGGATGTCTTTACTGGACGTTCTCCGCTTGCTGACGGCGCGGCATTAGTGTGTTTTTGTAGATCGCACGTTGCAGAAAGTGGTCCCAGCAGGCGCGTGCGCAGTCCATGCTTCAAAGCGTAGCTCCAGAATACGATCTACTAAAACTAGGGTGCCTTCATGTGCGCTTTGCTTGGGGTGATGACATCTGGACATTTTGTTTCGAACGCTTATTTTTTTTTTTTTTTTTTCTATAGCGCGTGAAAGAGCGTGTCCCTGCACTAGAGTGACCACCTTTCTGCTAGCGAAATGCGGGACACTGGAGGCGGGAAGAGTGGAAATTTATTGACACACAAACCACGAACTGTGCTGTTTATACACCTGCTAATTGTATTGCAGCAATTAAGCTCAATTAAGTTTCACTACGAGTGAAGTATTTTTTTTATGCCAAACGTGTTATTAAATGTGTCGAAGTTGAAAACATAAATCGACTGTAGCAGAAATCAATGCATCAAATGGAAATAAGAAACAGTAAATCTCTTTCAGGTTATTGTTTTCTGTCAACGCCTACTTTTATCAGCATTGCCCTACACACATTTTTAACATGTTTTTTTTTTTTTTTTTTTCGACCGTTGCGAGTTGCAGGCTTTCTGCTTTGTGTGGCTGTGTTCACTAAAACAAAGATCCACAGCAACCCTTTCACATTGACAGAGCGATATCAAAAGTAACTACAATATTTGGTTAAAACTTTGGCGCGCAATTTTTCTCAGAATATTTTGCCACCAAGGGGAGAGGCACAACGGAGTATGCGCGTCGGTCTCCTGCAAGAATGACGGTCGCTTCCCGCAATGCTTTGAATAGAAAATGGCGTACCATTGCGATTCACACGATTACCTGTGACCTCCGGGCTTCTCCGTGTCCCGTTGTTCGGCAGTGCCACGAGTTGCAGAGTGAATTTTACTACATTATGAAATGCGGGACATTTTGAAGATTTGGGAATTTCTTGCGGGATGCGGGACACGAGCCCTCAATGCAAGACAGTCCCGCGAGTCGCGGGACGGGTGGTCACCCTACCCTGTATGCGCTCGTGGCGCTGATTGTGCTACGGCGACATTTTGTTTCCTGCGATTTTTTTCCATTTTTCCTGTGAGCACGTGCTGTCGGCATCGGGTACTACACACGATAACATCACCCTAAACAGAAGGACATTGAGGCACTTTAACTAAAACTGTTGATAGCCGGGTACAGGTATACACCATTCCAGTGTTTACAACTCCTCAGCCCAGCACGTGCATGTTCGTCGCTTCGGAAAACAAGAAAATTGCGCCGTACGCATGAACACTGAAATAAAAACCGGACAGGCCCCCCCCCCCCCCCCCCCCCCCCCTTTTTTTTTGGAAAGGTCTATACATGGCTTGCACATGACGTCATTGAAAGAGCTCTCCAGAGAAAAGGGGAAGAAGGAGCTCCCCATCAGGATCCTCCTTTATGCCTCCTGGATATGCACAGACGTTGCTATTCTCCTCCCAGAAGATTATAGAAGATCAACCTGTCACTCAAAAATCTTACAAAAGCAGCTTCCCTCTCCTCCTCTTACATGGTGGTCAGAAGTAAGGGATTTGACGTCAGTGCAAGGAGCCTATAGGTGCTGTGCAGGATTCCAGAGCGTACCACCGTCGGTTGATCATCAGCGCCTCCGTGGCCAACTGAGACAACACCGGGGAGGCTAAAATCGGCAGCGCCACCGGCTTACCCTCGTGACATTACGTTATTGCCAACTCCGAGCGCTGTGTTGGCGCGCGCTATGGGTGGTAGTCACCGGAAGTCCTAAGAAGACATTCTTGCCCAGGCGAAAATTTTCAACTGGGACCAATTGGTCCCAGTTGCAACTGGTTTATGGAACAATTCCCAGTTGCAACTGGTCCCAGTTGGAGTTGTCCAACTGGTCCCAGTTGGAGTTGGTCCCAGCTGGAATTGGTCCCAGTTACAACTGGTCCCAGTTGGGAGTTGGTCCCAGTTACCGCTGGTACCAACTCCAGCAACAATGAAACACGGCACAAAATGGAAGGTTGACAAGACTTTATTGTCAAAAACTTGAAGAATGAAACTAAACAATAGGTTCGGTGACGTACATGCTCCGGGTTTAGCCACTTGCTTGCGACAGTTAAATCGCTTTTTCAGAGGTGGTATTCATGAGATGAAGGAAGATCGGCCGCTGGCGTCTGTTAGTGAAGACGTCCTCAGCTTCTCTTCCCATCGCGTGAAGAAAGGTGCTCACCCGTGATCCCGCGTTGCGCAGGTGAAGTCCTGATAAGATGCGGTGGCACTCCCACCTTGCAATCTCTGTCACAACAGTCAAACATTTTCGAGGTAGACCTCCCGCCATTTTCGCCATTGTGCTCTCCGCGGCGTTTTCTCTTCCTTCCGGTCTTTCCTGGGTGCCCTCCGATCGCTGAACTGCATCTTTCCATCCTCGAAGTTCACCGCTGCCACCATGGTGTGTGTACAGTTAGGTCCAAAGAAGCGCAGCTGTAGTTTTGACATTTTCATAACGACGCGAACTTCGGCGATGGCGACCCTTCTCTACCGCGTCCAACCAACTCCGGCGTCAGCATAGGCAGCGCCATTTGTCGACAACGCGTACCACTAATCTGCACCCGCGTGCCACAGCGGCCCGCTAGCTCTGATTGGCCAAAAGATAAATTTATTTATTAAAATAAAAAAAAATACTGTAGGTATTAAAATAAATGCTTTAATATATTTTAATAATGCACTAAATGTTCATTTAAGTGAACACATTTTGTCACTAATTATATTTTCCAATTAAAAAAATATTTAGTTAATTAAAAATTTTATATTATTTTTATAAATATATAAATGTACCCCACTAATTAAAAATTTCCCTATTTGTATAAGCCTAAAAATGTTAGTGTTTTTAGTTTTCTTCATTAGCAAAGGTCAATACACCCCCAACTTGTCAAAATTGTTGCCCCGTGTGAACTGGGAACGGGAAAGGCATTTGAAGTCCGACTGGGAATCGCTCCAACCAGTTACCTTCCTAACTGGTTCCAGTTCAGTCCATTCCCAACTGGGAGTCAAACCAGTTGACTCCCAACTGGGAATGGTTCAAACCAGTTGACCCCTCAGCTGGTCCCAGTTGGACTCCTATTGGTCCCAGTTGATTCCCAGTTGGGACCAGTTAGTCCCAGTTGATTCCCAGTTGGGACCAGTTAGTCCCAGTTGAAACCAGTTGAGGTGCCAACTGGTCCCAGTTAGAAATTTTTGCCTGGGTGATGGTGTGCAACGTGCATGTTCGAAGCATTGTGGAAGCTTGCCGTCAACACACTCTCAGCAGCAGCGAGCTCAGCTTTGGCCGCCAGTGAATACCACCTATACTACCGACTGTTTCCAAAATGTATTCACCATTAAAGGAGCTGTGCAACAATTTCAGGGCTTTGCTTAAATAATTGTGGAAGTTGATGCCTGACACTTCTGAAGTGAACTAAGAAAACAGATTTTGCCTGGATACCCTAGTTTTTATTTTGAAAAAATGAAAAAGATCCAGGTTTCTGCCACCTCTCAACGCATACGTCATCTTCCGGGTCACATGCGCAGTGACGTTGATGGGGTAGACGCGGGGTTCCGGAACAGTTCTCTCTTTAGAGCAATCAGTGAGCAGCGAGAACTTGTTTGCTCGCGACCGCGTGACCACGTGCTGGCGAGCGCCGCGCAAACAATATGGTGAAAGGAGGAAAGTCTCATCCGGGTCCAGCCATACCTGTCCGGCTCTGTCCAACCTGTCCCCCTCCCCCTTTGGCTTCTGGCGGCTGTTCGCGGTAGCAGAGAGAGCTGACGGTTTTGTGGACCTAGGATAGATGGCGCCGCTAAAACTCCGTATAATAAAAGTTTTGTCGATGATACCAGGTTTTTGACGCATTTATATCTATGTTGGAACGACAAGATTGATAGAAAAGTTACCTTTTATCGAGCAGGTATTGGTACAATTTGCTATCTTTCTACAAGATTCCCCATTGACGTCATGACGCATGTTTCTCATGGCCGCCGCTCGCAGCTGCAGGTCGGGGAATATTCAAATTTTTGCCTCGCAATTACGCGGTGGATTCGCAACATTTCGATGAAAGGGGGTGTGTTTTCTTTCCTTTGTGGCAAGGTGAACAATATCAAAAGCAGAAGATGCCAATTATTTCAACGTTGAAATCGTTGCACAGCTCCTTTAAATGTTTGTGTTAACCTGTATGCGTATGTGGCTGTGTGGTTCTAGCATTGGGGAGTTTCAGTAGATGCCATCCTCGATAGGTTGAGACAACCTAAAACAAGAACTAGCGGAACAAAATTGAACATCCAGATGTTTCGGCCAAACTTCAGTGAAATCAAGTAGACAAGGCCAGTTTTCTCTTCTTTTTTTTTTTTAGATCGCAGCTCTTAGGTGCTTATTTCCGGCTTGAGCGGCATCGCCGTCGGCGTAATTGTGCGGTGCATTATGGGACGTTTCCCATAATGCACCACAATGACGTTCCGGCACGTTGCCGAAACGTCGCCACGATGCATTATGGGATGTTTCCGGTAATGCGCCGCATGGACATTTTGGCACGGCACTCGCGCCGAAATGTCGCGTGACGTCACCGTGCCGAAACGTTGCTTGACGTTTCGGCACCACTCTGAAACGTCGCGTGTCGACGTGCATTTCATGTGCGAAAGAAGCAGGAGGGGAGGAGGAGGGGGTACGGATGAGCAGGAGGGGCATGCCCTTCCCTCAGTACCCTCTCTTCCTTCTCAAGAGCTATGCTCTAAATCAGTGTTACGGGGGGTTGTAAACGTCTCAATTTTTTCATCTTGCTTGCGCGCGCCTCAAAATTACAAAAGTATTGTCCCCTCGTCGTCGTGTTGAAGACGACTGTGGTGCCTGAGGAATGTGTTTTTTGTGCAAGCTGGCTGTAGTTTGGACGGTGTCGACACAGCTGCTCGTCGCAAGGTGATGCTCATTCTTGTCGATTGAATATGCTGTTCTCTTTTACATAGAACACAAATAAACGCTGCATATTTAACTTTTTTTTTTGTGGGGTACTTGCATTTTTTATTTCTCGAGTAGACTGTCTTCTTGCAACCGAGACGAAGTTGGGATAGCATAGGCACGGGTCGAAATAGAGCAGCCATCTTGAGCAGCTATGCGATCACGCTAAAGGCACAAACGCCACTCCATTTGGCAGTCGGCAAAGCGGAGAAAACGCTCGCTCCGGTAGCTATGCTTACTCCAGTAACTATGGTTAAACATCCATGAAATGTTGTATGATCAAGATGTGTCGGCAGAGCAGTAGGAATATCAAAGGACTGTCAAGCGCAATTATTCCAAATATTGAGTCAAATGGCACATTTAGGAATCCATCTCGAGTCATATGGTTTGAACAGAATGCCTATTTTACATGTTCTATGATATTTATTCATCTCCGATGGCGTTGTATTTCCCACGGCCTCGACGGGAATCTACAGAGCTTTACGCCTGCTAAGCTTTCGGGGTCGCGACAGTTAGGTACGCAACATTGCCTACAGTTTCAACGTTTGCTCGAGTCGTAAGGGCGGGCTGCACTCTACATTTTTTGCATTACTGGAGCCTGGCCACGAGCGTCATCCGCCAAAGCGCCAGACAGCCAGGCAACACTGGCCCGTTGCATTAACATCACCCGGAATCATAGAGGCCCGAGAACGTTTTCCTGCGTGGAACGTCGTCACAGTCAGATGGTGCCAATTCAGCAGTTCGACACAAGCCCGGTTGCCTAGCGCCCTTCGACGTGTTCGTTCGACAGGAGGACTGGCGGAACGCTTACGCAGCACCCGCGTCGACGCCAGAATTTTGTCCGCAGGCTTAGAATCTTGGGTTGCGTTGGTTTAATGCGGCATTGCCTTTCCCTCGTTCTCTAGCTTTATATGGGTATCCTGTACGGACCTTGCTCGCTGGTGTTGGTCACGCCCTAACAAGGGCTTGGAAAAGAGTCGGCAACCGAGTGCAGCAGCTGTTGGTTTGCGGTCATTGCACCAGTGGTGTGGCACCGCGTGGGGTGAAGGGGAGTAAATGGTGCATTAGCACACTCCCTACTTGTAGGAACGGGGGCTACATTGCAGGGTAGGGTGATCTAATAGGTGCGGAGATGTTACGGTCGGTTCGTATTCGCAGGGGCATTTTGGAGAAAATTGCCTACTGGCCTCAAAGAAGAGGTATGTGAATGAAGTGAGGTCCTTCATACACTCACAATTCCTTCACCACATGTCTCGTTTCATATCGTTCCGATTGCAAACACTGGTCATTAAAAAAACCCAAGTGCTATCCCACCTTCACTGCATATAACAGAATGTCTTAGCCAGATGATCTTTTTGTAAGCCATCGTAATTCAAGCTTAGTTTTTATTTGCGCGTGCGTTTGTCTGTGTCACCCCGTGAGTGAACGGACAGATTAGCACCACTTTGTTGTAAGCCGCCTCGGTGGCTCTGAGGCGAGAGCGTCGGCCTACGGATCCCCATGTGGCGGGTTCAAATCCCGGCCGAGGTGCCCGCAATCTGACGGAGGCTTATTGCGAAGAAAACGCCGTGTAACCGAGCTTTCGGTTGCGCGTCAAAAGGTCCCCAGGTGGTCCAAATTAATCCTCAGTCCTCCGCTGGGGCATACCACATGTCCGTCATTGGTTTGACACGTAAAACCCCCAAATTTGACTTTTAGCACTACTTTGTTTTCTCCGCATGGACATCGGGTTTGCTCCTTGGCGCAGGTGCGAGCAGCGAGGGAAGTGAGCGGCGGCCATGTCGCTGTGCTGCGCCCTGAGCAACGAGGCGCCCGAACAACCGGTGGTTTCACCGGTCTCGGGCGCCGTCTTCGAACGCCGCCTCGTGGTCAAGTACCTGAAGGAGCATGGCACGGACCCGGTCAACAACCAGCCTCTCACGGAAGACATGCTCATTGAGCTCAAGGTGGCCCCACTGGCCAAGCCCCGTCCCCCGTCGGCCACCAGCATTCCCGCCCTGCTCAAGGCACTTCAGGTGGGTACGGCCGGAGCTGTTCGATGCGCTCGGAATGCTGCACGGATGTATAGCCTTCGTAATGGGTCGTAGCTTGTTGATAGAGCGTTCGGATATTTCTCGCCATTTTTTGAAGCTTCCGGGATTCTCTGAGGCAAAAACATTCCAAGACCCCTTTTCTTGGCACTTTGTATGTTATTCGAGCATAGTTGTTATATTTTGGTGTAAGGCAGTGAAGAAGTCCAAAATGCTAGAAATAGACTTTCCTTCAATATTTTGCTTCAGCCTTCCTACCTGCGTGTCCTTGGAAAAGCAGAGTTTATCAAACCTTTGATAAGTTGAACCTTCCTGTAATTTCACACGAAGGTTAAGAAAACTGGGGTCCGATTTTGATCACGGCAAGAGTGAGATATAATTGGCCTGTTGCAGAGCGAGCGCAGATAGTGTTTGTAGGCTTTTTGTCTGCTGACGCAAGCGAAGGACAAGGTTCGTCTGCTACGAAGCACCATTTGCAGATGGAAATAAAACAAGAAAACATCGTACAACATCTAACAAATCGGGAAAATGTTTGTCTGCTATGCGCCGAGCGCCTCGGCGAAGTGGGATTATGGATGAAATTGTATTGTCCGCTCACTTCGCAAATCTCAAGTTGTTCCGCTGCATTACACAAGCAGACTTTGGCCGCTAGACGAAGGAGTACTAAGGACAAGCACATTGGAGGCTGCATAACCTCTCTCAATATTTTGATGTTAGTGAGATACTCTTACCAAAATATTGTACAATTGTGAACTCCCAAACAGGTCAAAAATTTCTCATTACCGTAAAATACCGGGCAAGCGCCCACTCAAACTTTGGAGGTAATCGCAAAACAATGGGGGATGGGCGCTTGTCCAGTCGTCAATTTTACATATCAATGTACCGTGCATATTTTCTCAGATCTTACAAATTTGGGTATGGGCATTTAATGTGGAATGGGCAGTTCCGCGGTATTCTACGGTAGTTGATTGTGCTCAAGCTGGAGTACCACGTCCAATATGCAGCCGACAATGCACTCGCCTTGATTAAATTCAAACCAATGGCAACTGTGTTTCAAGCAACTAGGTGGCTGAAGTGTCATTGCTTCGAGGTGTAGCCCGACTAGTGACTCGTGGACCAGCATTGCCGAGGTTGTGCCCTTGAGAAAACACGGCTGTACGCTTGCAGGACGAGTGGGACGCAGTGATGCTGCACAGCTTCTCGCTGCGGCAGCAGCTGCAGACGGCTCGGCAAGAGCTGTCCCACACGCTGTACCAGCACGACGCGGCCTGCCGCGTCATCGCCCGTCTCACCAAGGAGGTGACGGCGGCCAGAGAGGCCCTGGCTACCCTCAAGCCCCAGGCAGCAGGGGGAGGGCCTCAGGCGGAGGCAGCGGCAGCACCCGCGGAGGCGGCCGAGGAGACTGCCGGCGGCATGACGGCCGAAGTAGTGCGGCGCCTGCAGGAGAAGGCCACCCTTCTCACGGCACAGCGCAAGAAGAGAGGTGAGAGGACAAGATGTGGAAGCCTTGGGCGGGATAGAGCTGGGATTCTCAATATCTTGCTAACATGGGAGTTCCTGGCAGACCCTTCTCCGAGCTTCCCAATGTTTTTGGCAACCCATAAGCCTAGCGTTTTGCCAGCTCGGGCGTTTTAAAGGGCAACTCCAGTCGAAAACGAAACCAAACTAATGGTGAATTCCACTCGTAGATCTGGAGCGCTTTCCAAAATCCGCGAGGGAGGCAAAATTCCGCTCCGTGGGACCCGCTCCGAATCGACGAGGGGAAGATAAACGTGCATTTTTGGAGCGACCTCCCCCACACCCCCTCCCCACCCCTTCTCCCTCCGCCGTACAAAATGGCCGCTGCTTGAACTTGACCTGCCCACCAACGCAGCCGGCTGATCTTTCCAACGACCAGTGACGACTGTCACTGCTTAGCTGCAGAAGTAACACGCGACACAGGCCGGGCGAAATTATACATACCGCGGCGCCCATGTCACAAATAACGAAGACGTCCGCCTTCGGCACCGTCACATACCTTTCGGCCGCCTCGAAGCGGCGGGGCACGGACAGCGATTTCCAGCGTGGAGTTCAGATTTGTAGTACGACTTTAATAAACACAGAGGTAACAAACCATCACTTGCGCGGTCGTTTCCTAACCACTTCTTGCTTTATTTCACGGGAAAAAGCCGACGGAATGCAGTGTAAAAAGGTAAACAATCACTGGCTGCGGAATGAATAGGCCTAACCTTGCGTCTGCCTCCGGCTTTTCTGTCGTTCTTCCTCTCACGATCACAGACGTCAGCGCTTACGAGTTGCCACGCTCCACATTCCCGGCTTTTTATCCCTGATCTACGCGAGGTAGAAGCGTTCGAGCCGTCACAATCCAGAGTAAACACCGACGCACCCGAACAGATCCAACTCCACGACCGACCCAATCCAGGGTAAACACCGACGCACCCGAACAGATCCAACTCCACGACCGACCGGCCCGCCGATCTCTCCAACCTCGCCGCGCATGCGCACCGCCGATTCAGACGGAAGTCACGTGGGCCGCTCTGTCAGTTTCCGGAGAGATCCGTGAAATCCCGCAGAGCAAGTTCGGCGGAGTTTGGGGCGCTCCGTGGAGCGGGCGCTGCCAGAGATCTACGAGCGGAAGATGACCAACTTGAGCCAGATCTGCGAGCGGAATATGCGCGCTCCAAATGGAGCGCTTTTGGAGCGCTCGAGATCTGCGAGTGGAATTCACCATAAATGACTGGTATTGTTTTAGTGGCACGAAATATGATCACAGCCGCAATATAATGTCGAAGTGAAGCCGGATACTAAACTGAAACCTATTTTAAAGATGCGACCAGCTGCTCTTTAGCGGGCAGCAAGTGGGTTAGCTTTTAGTTGGGAAGCACTTGCACAGCACCCTCATGACGTCACGTCGCGGCGTGGCTGCGGTTGATTGGTTGTACCGCATACCTCAGCACCACGTTGGCATCACGTCCGTATGTCTGATGATCAGTGTTGCCATCCTTCTAGCACAGGGGTGGCCAAGCTGACCTGGCCTAAGAGCCGCAAACAAAACCACGAAACTTCTAAAAGCTGCATGGAAGAGGAAAGGCACAAAAGGGGGGGGGGGGGGGGGGGGGGGGATTTTGTCCACAGCATTAAGTACAATTTGACCTATTTTCAGTCTCTCCAAGTCAAAAGCAGTCCAACTGTATGTAAGGTAGCAGTAGCACAAGACTACCAAACTACCTGTGTCGATTTAAATCGCATTCCATTTCTCTTTTTGAGGAAGTTCTCGTGTGACCTGGAAGGAAACGGGTCTGTGTGTGTGGGTGTGTGTTTGGGAGGGGAGGGGGAGGGAAGAGGGGAGGGGGAGGGTAGTGGAGAGAGCCGCGAGCTGCACTTTAACACGCAAAGAGCCGCATGCGGCTTGCAACCGCAGCTTGGCCACCCCTGCTCTAGCAGGTAGTTTCGGTTTTGCCGTAGACGCCCTAACCAAACTTTTGCCGTAATATCTAAAATCTATGCACAATACTAAAAAAAAAAGAAAAAAAAAATACTTTGTAATTTAAGACCTGCTTTAGCGGAAAATACTTGTAATCCCATACTCAAAGATATCCACCGTAGTTGCCCTTTAACAGATCTGAGCCACCCATGGACGCGTAACTACGAGCCAAATGTTCCGAAGTATGTTCACCGATTTTTACAAGGCCTGTAGGCTTCTGCACTGCTTTACAGCATCATTGCCGAGTCTGGGAAGGGTCGAAGGAGATAAGGGTTCTAGGAAGTTGCAAAGCGTGGCGGCCCATGGCCTAGAGCAAAACCACCTAGGGCCTTTGCACCACTCCCTCTTCGCAGCACCAAGCCTAGCGCCGCGTGTCCGGACGCTGCTGGCTATCGGCCATGCCAACAAGGTTGCACGAAGACGGTGACGAGTCTCGAGTCAAATTTGAGGAGCTTATGCGCCAAACCAACAAAGGGCACCTGGCACACCCCAGCAAAGGATTGAGAATTAATTTGAACTGCACGGGGATCTTCCGACTTGCAACCGAAATCTCGGTTACAATGGTCAGGTTGCGGCCACCTCGGCCGCTGCTGGTGACAAGTGGGAGAGAGGGAGCAATTCAATGGCCGCTCATTTTTGGACCCTTAGTGTCACATTAGGAGGAGAGTGAGCGGGCCTCGTCGGCATCTACAACTACCATAATGTCCCAAGAGGTGGCCCACCCCCGAAAGATAGCCCGCCTCCCTATTTTTGGCTTTATTTCCTATTCTCTTTCAAACATGTAAAGATGTTTGAAAGAGAACATCTTCTTTCATACATTTCAAAGATAACCCGCCCCCTTTTTTTTTGGCTTTATTTTCTATTCTTTTTCAAGCAGGAGAAGGCAACGCCAGGCGAGGGGAGAAAGGGCGAGCACTAGAAAAAGCTGGTGCAGAAGAGAGAAACCTCCTTTTTCCTCTAATGTTCCTAGTGCTCTCCCTTTCTCCCCTCGCCCCCTTTGCCCTCCTCTCCCGTTCCGCTTTCCCAGTGCGCTCCCTTCCTCTCTTCGCCGTTGCCTTCGCCTGCACTGCCCACAGCTAGTGACACGGAGTATAGTTGATGTCAATGCAGCACTCCTTCCCTGTCATCTAAAAAATAAAAAAATAATTAAAAAAAAGAAAAAATGGGGTGACTAAAGGAGAGCAGGGGTTCAAAGCTAAGGTGTGCGATCGTTAGAGACACAAACTTCGTATTCCTCTGCGGCCGAAGCGCTAGCTTTGGCAGGGCTTTCTTTCCGAGACGCCATTCACGGCGACGTTTGCGCCGCCGAGGCCTAAAATGCGGGCCGAGTTTCTCCATTCAACATGGCTGCGAAGCAACATGCAATACGTCCCGTTACCATCGCCTGTGCCACGATACTTTAGATAAGGTGTGTAATTTGGCTTTCAGCTTCACATGAGCTTAGGTCGCATTAAATGGAATTGCTTTTTGCCCTTGGTTCCTGGCGAGTGCGACCCGTCTGACCCATTCCCTCGATAGCCGAGACCGGGAGTCCTCATGCTTTTCAATCTCAAGGAACGCTTTTCTGCCTTGAATGGCAGGCAGACAAGTCCTCCTGCTCTCGCATTGAGGCAATAAAGCACTGCAGAAGCCTACAGACATTGCGAGCAGTAAGGCAGATACAGTCTATGCTCATTACAAGGGCACTGGTTACAACAGACATTTGGATATAACATACCGACTTGTGAAGTTCGGTTGGTTTTCCCCTACATACCATTGCCTCAACTTCATATTTGCATACAACATACTCTTCTTACAACAGACCGAAATCTTGGTGAAAATCAAGGTCTGTTATAACAAGCTGAGACTGTGTAACTAGGAAATGTTTTCTCCTTGGTTGTGCATCCATAATTGCTCAGGTTTTCTAAATTACTGCTTAAAGTGGAAGAATGATTTACTTAGGGATGACCTAGGGTATTTGGATGCTTGGGCAAAGCCAGTTTGAGTACCCACGGGCAAGAACACGGGCAGAAAAACACGTGTTTGAGGCACGTGTAAGGGTAGATAGAAGCGAGGGTTGTTCCAAGCGTCCCCTTGCACGCAGGCAAGGCCATCCCGGAGGATCTTGCCAAGCCGGAGGAGCTGCGTGCCTTCCGTGCCCTGGGGTCGCACCCCGGCCTGCACAGTGCAGGCCTGCCGGGCATCCTAGCCCTGGACGTGAGCCCCAGCGACCGGGTGCTCACTGGGGGCAGCGATCGCAACGCGGCCGTCTTCAACAAAGACACAGAGCAGGTCGTGGCTGTGCTCAAGGGGCACACCAAGAAGGTAAGGGCAGGGCCCTTTTCCCTGTCGCGCACGGCTCATTACGGTTGGCAGCGGCTATTTGGTGCTGCATCATCGAGGCTACTGTAACTTCTTGCGGGAGCCTTAGGTGATTAGGTTACTTACTGGTATTTAGATTGATTAGATTAAGGAGATTAGATTGCACTTTTCTTTGCATTTATGTTACTTGTGATTAGATTGCATATTTGGTGCTTCCTAGATTGCATATTTGGTGATTCGATTGCACATTTAGTGATTAGATTACCGTTTGATTGCTTGTTTTGTGATTAGATTACACATGTGGGGGTTAGAGAAATGTTAGGTTGCATATTTAGTGATTCAGTTAAAAAGATTAAATTACAGATTTGTAACTTAAATTGCAGTTAATTAGATTGCATATTTAGATATTAAGGAGATTAGATTACACATTTGGTGATTAGATTACAGAGATTGCACATTTAGAGATGACACAGGAGACCGTGATGCGGTGGTCCTTTCTCCCAGGTCACCTCGGTGGTGTTCCACCCGGACGAAGACACGGCGATCACGGCTTCCCCGGACGCGACGGTGCGTGTGTGGCACGTGCCGAGCGCCCAGACGACGCAGGTGATCAGAGCCCACGAGGGCCCCGTGACGGGGCTGAGCCTGCACGCCACGGGGGACTACCTGCTGTCCACCTCGACGGACCAGCACTGGGCCTTCTCGGACCTACGCACGGGGAGGGTGCTGGCCCGGGTGGGGGACACCTGCGCCCTCACAGCGGCCGAATTCCACCCGGACGGCCTCATCTTAGGAACGGGGACCTCGGACGCCCTCGTCAAGATCTGGGACCTCAAGGAGCGCACCAACGTTGCAAACTTCCCGGGTGAGTGTAAAGCCAACGATCTAAAGCAGTGACTCTCGACTACCGACGCTTTTGGGATCCCTTCTGGATTGGCAGAAGCGACGGGGGACCCCACTCGCCGGCATGTCAGACGATTACGACGACAAAAGGGTAAATGACTGGAACTAAATGTGTGCAGACCAACTTTGAGCCTCTGAAACGGAGAATAATCGACCCCGCTCGCTCGGAGCCCACGGTTTAGTCTATTTAGCTGCGTGAAACAGCCAGCATCAGCAAAGAGAAGAAGTTTCATTGCTCGGCTCGACCGGCTGTCGAGGGCTTCGGGGACCTTGAGAAGGCCTTCGGGAAACCCTGAAGGTCAGCGGACCACCATTTGAGAACCGCCGATCTAGTGGGAAAGGTCCTACGCACTAAGACCACTTTGGAACAGCGGGGCACAGACGCAGACATCAATGGTCCCAACGGGCCTATGTCTTTGGCAATGCCTTGATCACGCAAAGAAGCAGCGAAACATCGCCTGGAAGGTCCGTATTTGGGTATTTTCTGGTTTACCTTGCAGGAAAGCTCCGGCATTGCGCGTGGAATCACAATTAATAAAATTGACAAGCCCTCGAACAATTTCATCTCCTGGCTGCAAAACGGACACGTCCAACCTGTAGTCTGCTTTCTCTTTTCCACTTTTTCTTTCACTCTTCTTGTTTCTCTCAGGACCGTTGATGTCAGCAACGATGATTTGATGTGTTCTGCTCCCGTCTTACCCCCATTCAGTGGGGGGGGGGGGGGGGGGGGGGGGGGGGGACGGTGTAGTGCGCGTGGAATAGGCAAAATATCTGCCCGAATATGCGAGAAATTGCACATTTGTAGAACTGTTGTGGCTGAATTTGGTTGCACTAAAACTTCTCTACAGTATAGCCTCGTGTAGTGGAGACCGGGACTGTTCTTTAGGGAGCACATTGTGTGGTCCAAAACCCCAATTTGTTTGTTTTACTCTCTGAGCCAGGACAACACAAGGGGGGAGTGGTAAACATATAAGTGGCGGAAAAAACTATATAAAATTGTTACCAATGGGAGAAAAATATATGAATAGTAAAATCGTGAAAACTATACCAAGTAGCAGCCAAGTAAAAGTAGGATGCAGTCACGAAGAAATGGAGGATGGACACATGTTAGGTCTAAGAGCAGAAGAGCCGAAGGGGTGCACGGCAGTGTAGGTCCTCGTTTGGTCTGACGAAATGCTACAGAAGTGTGGAGGTCTGGCAGAGCCCCTAATTTTAAAGCAGCATCACCACTCTCGTCGAGCCCCCTTGCCACTGTTGCGTCGGCCTTGACTACTTCGCACCAGTGTTTGCCATCGTAAGTGGTTGAGGTGATTACAGCTCAGTTGATCTGTCTTAAACACATCTGTGATCTAGTCTTAAGGTCAGCAGTGCCTTAGTGCCAAGTAAGTGCCACGCTCCATGCGAATCGTCTTCTATCGTAATCCTCGACTAACTGTCCGGCGGCTCTTCCCCAGGGCACACGGGGCCGATCTCGGCGCTGGCCTTCTCGGAGAACGGCTACTACCTGGCCACAGCGGCAGGGGACGCGGCGGTGAAGCTCTGGGACCTGCGCAAGCTGAAGAACTTCCGCACCCTGACGCTGGACGAGGGCTACGAGGTGCGGGACTTGTTTTTCGACCAGAGCGGCACCTACCTGGCTGTGGCCGGCACGGACGTGCGCCTCTACCTGTGCAAGCAGTGGGACACCCTCAAGGTGTTTGCCGACCACACAGCCCTGGCCACGGGCGTGCGTTTCACCCACCGGGCGCGCAATGTGGCCTCGGTCAGCATGGACCGCACCCTCAAGATATATGGCCTCTAGTGAGACTCCTTTCGAGCGTCTTGTCTGTTCACTCGATCCTTGTCTCGTTTTTGTTTTCTTTTTCGGTTTCATGTTTGGGAGGAACAGAGGTAATGATGTCAGGTTGCGTTTCATCGTCGAAGTTGCACAGGGGGTCTGACCATGTTTCCACGTGACACTATGCGTTTTACAACCAAATAAAGATTGCTCATTGAGATTTGCTCTTGTGGTTCTCTTTCTCCCAGCTCGTTTGCCTGCCTAAAGAGGGAAATAAACATATGAGTGTTTCCTAAACTTCAGCCTTCCGGTTAATAGTTTCATTAGGGAGCCACAGGTGGGATGCAAAAACATATCCTGCCTGTGAGCCTTTATTATATAACGCTGCATCAGCTCCCCTTAACACGACCATCTTATGTCTCGTGTGTCGATCATTGAATAAAGTAAGCATCTTCGACTGTCGGTAGTCACGTTTCCATCTCTTTTTCCTACCAATGAACGCTGGATTGGAATCTCCCTCGCACCTATCGTAGGCGTAACGAAAAATGCGGAATTTAAGGATGCTATTTGCAATTTTGTTTTGCATTTTACATAACTATTTTTGTTTTTGCCTACCTACTGCAATATCCCAAAAAGATAGCCCACCTAAAATCAAGAGCAAGGTAGGTGAAAATAATAAAAAAATTAACTTCTTAAACGTTGCAAAAAAAAAAAAAAACAGGTTGGACATTTTGGTTTCTTGTAACTGCCATGGCAACCATTTGTCCACGCAACAGCCACTGGGTGGCTGCTGTTCTTTTTATGTTTTAGTCGACATGAGTGCACTCTTCCGGTAGACCTACCATGTTTCTTGCAACACGAGCGACTTCACAATTCCGAAATTGCAACTAGACTTGCGCATCTGAATCAAATGTTAGCTGAACATTGTCTTCGAGCAGTTCGAAATGACGCCAACAAAGGCCCCGACAAGCTTTGCAAATGTGGCAAGATGACAGCTGTGAGAAAAGCTGTCCCCTTACTGCCAAGGTCACTAGGCGGTGTGATTCTTAGGAGTTAAAGCTACCTTTTGGTGTTTTTTGAACAGGAAATCATACCTAAAACTGGCATTGGCCAATTTTCAAGGGTGGGGCACCAGGGATATTGGGTTATTACTATTTCAGGGTTCATACGCGTCCTTAAAACCCTGAATATGAAAATGTTTTCATGTACTTGAAGTCTGGATTTTTTCACATGCATTGCCGGGTCATAGACAGCCCGAGAAAAAAAGACGAAAAGCAAAAACCTGATGGAAGAGGTATTGGACCTTCTGGAGTCTTAAAAAAAAATTGGGTTGTGTGTGTGTTTATACAGCCTAGAACTTGGTCTGCCTCACAGGGGCGACGAGTCTCCCAGCTGTAGATGAGAAATTTAGCCAGTGCGGTACAGCCGCTAGCCTGGGGGTCTTTAATGTGCACCACGCAGTACCCAGACAACAGTTGGACATCCCCAGGATGTCCTCAGGACAGCCTTTTGAGGACATTATGATGTCCTGAGGATGTCCTCAAATGATCCTGGAAACATCCTAAAAACGTCCTATTGTCCGGCCTCAGGACATCCTCAGAACGTCCTCAGGAGGGCAGCCAAGGATTTTTCTAGTACATTTTTAGGACAATGCACTGCAGGTGCAGCTGTTCACTGAGGTGTTAGGATGTTTTCATTTTTATTGTTTCTAGGTTTTCTCCAACTGGATTTTGAACCTGAAGATGCCTTCAAGAGCTGCCTGCAGGGAAAAGAATGCTTTGTTGTGCACTATTTTAAAGTGAAATTCACACACTAATTCTAGATCACTATTCAGTGAGAGGCTAAGAACATAGGGCAAGGGAAAGGAGGAAGAAAGCTGACGGAATGCTGAAGAGGAGAGAAGAAAACCTTAGTAAGGTGGTTAGGTGGGCGAGTTGGTAATGATTGAACATGGTTAAAATTGAGCACAAGCAGAAAGGAACAGAGAAGAGGGAAGAGAGAAGAGACAAGCGCAAACTCACAACTCTATGTATTGAAGGTAGAAGAAAGAACAGAACAACCGAGGGCTGTTTTTTTTTTCTACCTTCAATGCACCGAGCTGTGAGTTTGCGCTTGTCTCTTCTCTCTTCCCTCTTCTCTGTTCCTTTCTGTTTGTGCTCAATTTTAACCATGTTCGAAGAAAACCTCTCCCCTCCAGCATCCTGTCGGTTTTCTCCTCTGCGTATTTCTTTGCGCTATGTTCTTAGCCGGTAGCTATGAGCATGATCGTGCCATTCATTATTGCAAACAAAGGTAACTGTTCAAGAAATACTTTATTGCAGAGCAAATGTTATACATGACTTTTTTCAACGTCTGCACCAGACGTGCAGTCTGGCTTCGCATCTTGGCCAGCACTAGTCCAAATAGTCAGCGGGATCTGCAGAAAAAAAATCAATTCCATAAGCATTATTAATAAAAACAGGTAATATGAGAAACTTACCATCATGTCGAACATCTGCGGCCTTTGACTGCAGCTTTTTTCAGTTCCTCTCCAGCGTGGCGCAGCCATACTTTGATGATGGTCTCCACGTCAGCTCTGTTTGCGCACTCAACATTTGATTTCACTGCTCCTAAAACATTGATTTGTGATGACAGTCACAGCAGAAAGCTAAGATGGTCTAGAAAAAAATCACAATTAATGTTCGTGCGAGGAAGATACCCTTGTTACCGAGTCTACTTTCGCACAGTTGAAAAGCTCGAAGCATTCGTTTACGCGCCGGCATCTTTCCCGTCAAAATTGCCGTTCATTGCTTTCCGCCATTTAGAAGAATTCATTTAAAAACACACTAACCTTTGTCTCCTGGCTTGCATCGCACCCATCATCAATTTGGATGGAACAGCGCGGGTATACAGACTCGCAGCGCTGACTAACAACTCTAGACCTGTGCGCCGCCGCGCCGCGCCGCCGCCGCCGCCGCCGCCGCCGCCTGTTTTGCTCTCGCCGCCCTGCGCCGCCGCCGGGTTCCCCAGATCCAGCACGCCGCCGCCGCCGCCGCACAATAAATCCGGCGCGCCGCCGGCGCCGCCATCTTTTTTTTTTTTTTTTTTTTTTTTTTTTTTTTTTTTTTTTTTTTTTTTTTTTTTTTTAAGGGGGGGGGGGGGGGTATTGGTGTTTTTTTTTTTTCTGCTTCTATATGAGTTTTACCTACTATATTATGCATAAAAAATGAATAGATTGTTTTTCCTTTCATTTTTACTCCTGTAACTATATCAATAGATGTAGAAGTTCCATAAAAAACGGAGACACAGAACAAAAAAAACAAAAAAACTGACAAAACAACAAGTCTCAAACACCGTCTGTAGTTTATTTGAACAACGAACGCTCACCACCAAAAAAGAGACACCTCCCCTTCAGTAGGTCACCGAGAGCCGGACACTCAGACAGAACCCATATGATTCATGATTCAGACATATCTAAATGATTTACACCACCCTGATGACCTCGCTTGAGGGCTGACCAGCCACATGCGATAACAGGCAACTCCAGCTCCAGCACAGCCCTTACAACTCTGAGAAAACAGACACTAAAAAACGCTTCATATCACTGTCCAATGCCAAGGACGGTGTGCTTGCTCAATTACCAGAGGTCAAAATACGCATGGTCTCCCTCAGAACTCTCCTACCATTGCTGATTGTTGGGCGAGTGTGTATTGTGCGTGAGAAAACATGATTGCGCTTTAAGACATAGACAGAGGAAGAAATCCACAGAGCGCTTACTTTCAACTGATTTAATCAAAGCGCCTCAGCGTAGATACACACTGCGTCACCACACCACATCGCAACCAATCCGTGACCCCGCCGCGGACTGCAAATAAGCTATCTCTTTTTCTGCAAAGTCAATTGAAACCACGCATGACTGCAGGTGCAAACCATTATTTGCTTCCTCCACTGTTCTCGCTAGGCACACAGATAAGACTGTTAGAGAGATAATTGAGGCGGACGCCATCAATAGTTCCGGCACGTGTTGTGCACGTGTTTTATTCTGGCACACCTGAGGACTACCCCGAAAAGGAGGTTAACCTTTCTAATTTGTGCTGAGCTTTAAAAACTAAATTTACACCGAACCTCTCTGCCATTGATATAAAGTTATGAGAGATTCCAAGGTAGTAAGGCACACACACAACATTCCTTACAACCGGTTTTTTCCACAGGAGCCGGATTAAACGTACGTTCCTTACACCTTGAGCACAACTGTAACAATTCCATCCTGGTGTAATTGTTCAAATGGTTGTGAACGAAAATTGAGTTTGGCAGAAGGTGTTGTCGGTTTTTATCTAGAAATGCCTGACAGGAGTGGAGCAACAGCCCATTGTCACTCAAAAACTCTGAGCAATTGATTGAAATATTGAATCCGCATCATGGGAGAAGGTGCGATGTGACAACTGTAGACATCAAGGACGTATACGTTACTCTATGGATAAGTCGGAGCTGTTAATAAGGGTCAGGAGGTGGTGTGATGATAATCTAGTGAAGCTGCAGTCTGCCAATGGGATTGATGTAGATAGTTTTATCAGCATTCATTTAGAGTCCACTGCCGTAGACTTTGATGGTTCTCTTTTTATTCAAAAACAGGGTGTGTGTATCGGGTCGTGAATTGCTCCAGTGTTGTCCGAGATTTTTTTAAAACGAGACTTATGTACACGTTGACACGGTTGTGCGGTCCTTGTCGATTGGACCGCAAAACCCTGCCATCGCAACAGTCAAATTAAGTACTTGTAGACCTACTGTTGCACACGGAAAAGGGCCTGTGCTGGATGTACGGCAAGGAATCAGCCAAGCCTCTGTTGGCAGCTGAGAGTTGTCACTTGAAAATAGTTAAGAGTGATGTAATTGCGTCTGCGATGGATAACGCTTGTAAAGAATCCCGTATGTTTTGGGTTGGTGAGGTAGTTGAGTTGCAAAAGATGCGTCGTTTGGAAGCGGGCCATCACAATGATGTAATTGTCAGAGTTGTGCTCAAGGTGCTGAAGGTTTAATCCGGCTCCCGTGGAAAAACCGGCTGTGAAGAATGTCGTGTGTGTGCCTTACTACCATGGAATCTCTCATAACTTTATATCAAAGGCGATCGGTGTAAATTTAGTTTTCAAAGCTCAGCACAAATTAGAAAGGTCAACCCCCTTTCTGGTGGTCTTCAGGGGCGCCAGAAAAAAACAGGAGAACCCAGATGTAACTTTTCAGGCA